CAAAAATAGCTACCGCATAAATAACAATAAGAAAGGAAAGAACAAACAATAAATGAACTCAATACCACGCTTTACCAAAACTAGTGTTCAAAACAATGCCATAAGTTTAGTTTACTTTTATTTCTTTTTCTTTTTTCAATGTTCTTGTCGGCGGTTTTGTAAGAGACAATAATGAATGAAAGACTATAGACGCCTTGTCTTATGACGAAGACGACAATTGTAATTCACATATTTAACAATTTAATAACTAAAATTTCTGGTGATTTTTCATTATTTTAATTTTTGGATGATGATGAGCCACTCAATTTTGTCGAGAATACAAAGTGCCATTGTTTTTTTCAATGAAATGATTATGGTTTATTTCCGCGGGACTTGCAATCATCTTTCGTAATCGCATTTGCTTTTTTTGTTCGTAACTTTTCAGAAAGGCTTAGTGCATAGTCATTGTTCCCTGTTGATGGTATCTTTTATAACTCTAAATGATTTCCAGAATACGAATAAAATAATTACATATTAATACAATAGGCATAAATTTATCTATATTGTCATACTAACTTAAAATTAATAACACAATTTCCTAAAAATGCTTCACTTTCACTGAAGCCTGTGTGAAGTATCATCATTGTATTGGCAGCCATAGAATTTTTATTTTTAACTTTCCTTCTGTGCTACATAGTGCACTGACAAAAAATAAATAAAGGATGATGGCTTGAAAACCCTTTTAGGAAAAACCAGAGGAGTTTGGGGTCCATTGTTCTTGAAGTAAACTATTGTGTAAAAATTTTTATATAATAGAATTATCGAATTTGAAGAACAATGTCACCTTGTTGATCATGATATTTCCACTTTTGAGTAATTTTTGTTTGTGGAAATTGCGATTTGGAAGCTTTCCGTTTACTTGGTTAAAGTAAGTAAGTAATCGTTCACTTTTACTGTATGTATCGGAATAAACTGAAAAAAAAAACATTAGGTAATACCACTAATGGTTCGATTTTAATACTGTTGTTTTGTAAAAGCCCCCCGGAAATAACATTTCAAGTTTAAAAGTAAAAAAAAACAACCCATAAATTAGTAGTTCTAAATTAAAGTTAGGGTTCAAAACCTTTAGATTTTGTTTAAACTTTGAATAACAAAGTTCTTAACATTTTGTATTGTATAAGGAAATTATTCGTTACATAACAGTTCAGAAGGATTCCACTGATATATACCTATATATTTGCTTATTTCTACCATCCAGAAGGTGTCAATACAATAACACACTTTAGCTTTTCAATATAATTACGAACCCTCTTGAATGTAAGTTGTTCATTAGAAATAACCCCGCCCGTTAACACTAGAAAGATAATAGAGGGGTAATTTTTCAAAGGAGAAATTTGAGTAACAACTTTAGGAGCTTTAGACTAAGCTAAGCCAAACTATGCTGAATATTTCATCGTTCCTCCCCGTTCCAAAGCAAAAGATAATCCAAACAAAAACGTACTTTTACTTAGTCGAGGTCGTGCAAATGTTCACCATTTTTTCTACTCTTGTATTAATCATATTAAGGCGTTTGTGGATTGCTGGATGCTATCCGTCAAAAACTTTCTTATTATGTAAAAATAAGGCATATGTTTACTCTAGTGATCTTAATTTAAGCACTCTGCACGAATTAATTGTAATTGTTAGTACATACATTGCGTAGTTTTAAAATATATACAACATTACTAAAGATTTTCTGCTGTGTACTTCAATGATTGAATACTTACCAGAGGTGAGATGGAAATATAAGCTCTCCAGATACCCGTATTAATGGAGAACGGGTTTTGTTAAATAAAAGCGTGGAAGTTTACGAGTAAACAAAACATGATGACTGGTTCACGTCATCGTCCACAAACAATCTCACGCATATAGGCAGCACCATGCAAAGCACCCTAATTCTGCAGATCTATAATGTCGTGTACTATTGAAATCCTCTTATATTACAAAAAGAGATAACAATGAACGAATGAAAGTTTAGTGGTGTTGCTTTATATTTATCAAACAGTGTCTGAGAATAATTTCAAAAGTAAATAGCAAAAATATTGTATTGCTATTGTTAAACAAATGTGTGACAATCGTTCTTTATAAGATCATTATGCATTTCCAAGAATTTTATATACACAGAAGACGTAATTAGCATGTATGTAAAATTGCGAATATTACCCAAATGCAACTACAGTTCTACTTGCTTTGCATTTCCCCCCCAAAAAAAAAGTAAAAAATAAAAAATAACAACTAGAACTTATTCTCTTTGTTGTTCACATTATTGAACACCGTCAACTGAATTAGTGCTCAATAGTCTCAAAGATTTGCGATAAGTCACATGTTCCGTTTTTATTATTAAGCAAAACAATAATGCTTTTCCAGAACTGTTAAAACCACTTGATGAAAGCCCAAAAGAAAAACACCCCTAATAACTAGTTTGTTAATATTATTAAAAATAGATAGTTCAAGTAGGTATATAGATATTACTGTAACTGAACATAAAACCAACTTTTTATTGACCACAAATGTAATAGGTATTCACAAGATTGTCTCCATTCCTAACAATTAGCTCTAGAAAATTTAAAAATCAATGAACGCCTTAGAATTAGCACAATACTGTTTCCAAATACTAAATTAACACTCATAACCATGCCAGTAGAAAATAAAAAGAAACCAAGCAGGCAGTTTAGCTCTGCTTTCACAGTAATCAGTAGCAAACAAAATGTTGGGCAGATACATGACAGTTACCAAAACATAATATCACTGTGTGAATATTGTACTCGAAGAGCTAAGAAATCTTGCATGACTACATCTAACCTTTTTACATTGTCTTTATGTAAATAAAATTCACTTTGTGATTAATTTTGTTTTCACATTCAAGTATTTCATACCGACAAGAAAGCCATCGACCCTATTACGGTAAACTTTCGTCTTTTTTTGTTTTCATTAGAAAAACCAACAAGTTTAGATATGTATATTTTAGGCAAACTTATTCAGTTTAAACATATCACATCTCCGTATTTTGCAGTACATTTCATATCAATTTGAATTCAACTTTTATTACGTGATAGCACATTTTGCATGGCTTTTTTTTTCCAAGCTATTTACTTACATAATGGTAAATTTTTATAATATCAAGAATCTATTAACAATGCAAATATTATTAGGTAAACCAAAATTTGATATGTTAGGACTGTTTCTCGTTCTTGTTTCAACAATGGAAGACATTTGATGAGACAATATATGGAAAGCTTACGAATAGGAATGGATAAAGCGCCACTTTTTTTGACCACTCACAAGAAAGTGACGTGAACATGAATTATTACTTACAAATTGTTTTGGAATTCTGACTTCATTTCCATTTTACTAGTTTATTGTTCCTTCGGGAGTTTTAGGATCACCGGCATTAAGAAAGTCTTCTTCTGGTTTTGATCAATCAGCATAGCTCTGGAACCAAGCCACTGCTTCTAGGAGATAATACAGAAGTGCTAAAAGTATCATTGTTCTTCAAGAGTAAGGCATTCTTGTAATTCTTTTCCATTTATTAACCTCAAAAATTGGAGGGTTTAGAAACAGAAAAGAAATCCATTGAAATGTTTATCATTGTTGAGCTAATTTTCGTTTTTCATGTTTCCATTGTGTTTTGCATTTATTTTCTTTATTTTATTTTTCTCTTTCGCAACAATAGATTGCCAATCTCAAGTGAGGAAATCTATATACAGTCGCTTGCAAAAAGTTTGGAGATTTTTTTTCAAAATCGAAAAACGCCACAAAAACGGAGAACAAAAACTCTTTTCTCTCCTGTTTTTCACGTACCGTTTTGTAAAGAATCAACTGTCAATAATATACAAGATATAAACTACATATCTCTTATATAGACATCATTCTAGAGTGTATCGATAGTACTTACAATTATGTATTTCTCTGTGAACAATCTATAAAATTGTTCGGATGAAGTAAAAATTTTCTCGGTCCATCTCGGAATTGTGTTACACACGATCTATTTTACTAATTTCATTCGTTCATCTATTATCCAGTACACTACTTTTCGATTTTGAAAAAAAATCTCCAAACTTTTTGCAAGCGACTGTATACCGTGGTTGCATTTTGAATTCAAAAACAACAGAAAAAAGCAATTGCAATTTTACAAAACCACTTTGATCAAGTATCCATTATCCATGGGTAAAATTACAATGTATGTAAATACGTGGAAATTGTGCTTGTAAGAAATGAAATTGCTGTTCGTGTTTGGATTTTATTTGACCAATGCCATTTTAGTTTTCTGTTCGTCATTCACAATATTCTACTTACCAATAAAGTTTCATTCTGTCTAAATTATATTGTTAGTTAGCTTTCAAGGTTCTTCAATTGCAGTGAGTTAACTTTTTTTCTTCTTTTTCAATAGTTTATTAGCGTATAGTTAAAATACAAATAATGTATAGAACTAAAGAACCGGATTACCGAATTTTTTGTATTCCATAGAACCCTTTCACGCTCTATTCAGTTTAGGCTTCTTCACTAAGAAGATTAAATATCTGTTATTTAAGGTTTAGAATGCCTACAGCAATTTCATTATTATATAGTACTTGCAGATACCGAACACATATTTTGAATTAACAATGGACACAATTAGAGTTACTAAAATTCAACTAAACTTACAATCCATAAATTTTTATTTTGTTACTCATATGACTGCAGCTTTGGAATAACTTCCATATTCGGTTCAAAGTTTTCTTACTGTCTCACTCATGTCCCAATTGGATCTTTTTGTGTAATGTCTACCATTATTCCTTTTGCAACTGGATTTTGTTTGGTACACTTTTTGTTTATCCTACTTGATTTTTGTTGAAGTAATAATTTTCCACCCACTATTGATATAACTTTGAAAATCTATAAATAAAAGGCTACCCGTATCACCTTTTTCAAATTATTCTATTGTTTTAGCTATTCCAATAACAGTATCAACTTTTTCTTTTTACATTAAACTAACAAGAAACATGTTGTTACCTTTCAAAAGGATCTTGATAACTGCTTGGTTATTGTTATCATCTGCATTAGCTCTTGATATTACACTGGACAGAATCGACCGTGGTGTAATTGATCTTAGTATTGGAGACATTACAATTCACGCCCCTGCCTCGTGGTCTATCATTAATAATGCTATCTCTACAATTGTTGGTAATCTCAAAGTTGAATCTGGTGCTGGATTTTATATCAGTCTGACATCTCCCATTCTTTCCCTCCAAGTGCTTTTAACTTCCCTACTTGAAAGTATTGAGAATGACGGTATTATTGCTTTTAACTCTGTTGCTTCTTTGACTAGTTCTACTTTCAACTTGGTTGGTTTGTCTTTCAAGAATACTGGTGAAATGTACATGGGTGCTTCTGGAATATTACCAAGTGTTATGTCTATCACTGCTGCATCTTGGGATAATGAAAACTTGATGGTGTTCTACCAGAACCAAAGAAACTCAGGAAATGTTTTGCTTGGTACTGCCCTTGGAAGTATCACCAACAACGGTAATATTTGTCTTTTTGAATCTGTGTACAGACAAACAACAGCTATTAAAGGTAGTGGATGTATCACTGCTGATGAAAACTCAACCATCTACATTTCAAACTCACTTTTATCAGTTGACACCAATCAAAACCTTTATCTTAAGGACAGCCAATCATCTATTATTGCAGAAGCCCTTTCAACTCCTCAAACATTCAATGTTTATGGTTTTGGTAACGGAAACAAAATTGGTGTCACATTACCACTTCTTGGTAATCTACTTCCATACTACCCTGCCTACAGTTATGATGAATCTACTGGTATTTTGACTTTAAGAAACCTTTTATTGACACAAAGATTTAACATTGGTAAAGGCTACGATTCAGATCTCTTTAAGATCGTTACAGATTCAGGTGCTGGATTACCTTCAACATTGCTTGGTAGTCTTCAATATAACGGCCCAGTTCCAGATCAATCTTTACCATCTTCATGTCAAATTGAATGTAAACAACTTCCAGATGCTCCAGGTACTGAACCAACAGAGTACACAACAACAATCACTACTACTGCTTCAGATGGATCTGAATTGACAGAGACAGGTGTTGTTGACATTACCACCGATACAAATGGTTCCTGGTACACGACCACTTCAATTTTCCCAACCGCGTCTACAAGTAGTTCTGAAGTCGTGTCCTCAACCGAAGAATCTACTTCTTCCAGTGAAGCTACTTCCTCCAGTGAGGCTACTTCCTCCAGTGAAGCTACTTCCTCCAGTGAAGCTACCTCATCTAGTGAAGCTACTTCCTCCAGTGAAGCTACCTCATCTAGTGAAGCTACTTCCTCCAGTGAAGCTACATCATCTAGTGAAGCTACTTCCTCCAGTGAAGCCACCTCATCTAGTGTAGCCACCTCATCTAGTGTAGCCACCTCATCTAGTGAAGCTACATCATCTAGTGAAGCTACTTCCTCCAGTGAAGCCACCTCATCTAGCGAAGCTACTTCTACCAGTAAAGCTACTTCTTCCAGTGAAGCTACTTCCTCTGCTGAGTCTTCCGAATCTGGTATTCAAACTGAATACACCACCACCTGGACTACTACCAACAGTGACGGTTCAGTTGAAACTGATTCTGGTATTGTCAGTCAATCCGGCTCATCCTTGACTACTTTGACTACCTTCCCACACGAAGCTACTTCTTCTGCTGAATCCGGTGTTCAAACTGAATACACCACCACCTGGACTACTACCAACAGTGACGGTTCTGTTGAAACTGATTCTGGTATTGTCAGTCAATCCGGCTCATCCTTGACTACTTTGACTACCTTCCCACACGAAGCTACTTCTTCTGCTGAATCCGGTGTTCAAACTGAATACACCACCACCTGGACTACTACCAACAGTGACGGTTCTGTTGAAACTGATTCTGGTATTGTCAGTCAATCCGGCTCATCCTTGACTACTTTGACTACCTTCCCACACGAAGCTACTTCTTCTGCTGAATCCGGTGTTCAAACTGAATACACCACCACCTGGACTACTACCAACAGTGACGGTTCAGTTGAAACTGATTCTGGTATTGTCAGTCAATCCGGCTCATCCTTGACTACTTTGACTACCTTCCCACACGAAGCTACTTCTTCTGCTGAATCTGCTGAGTCTGGTGTTCAAACTGAATACACCACCACCTGGACTACTACCAACAGTGACGGTTCTGTTGAAACTGATTCTGGTATTGTCAGTCAATCCGGCTCATCCTTGACTACTTTGACTACCTTCCCACACGAAGCTACTTCTTCTGCTGAATCTGCTGAGTCTGGTGTTCAAACTGAATACACCACCACCTGGACTACTACCAACAGTGACGGTTCTGTTGAAACTGATTCTGGTATTGTCAGTCAATCCGGCTCATCCTTGACTACTTTGACTACCTTCCCACACGAAGCTACTTCTTCTGCTGAATCTGCTGAGTCTGGTGTTCAAACTGAATACACCACCACCTGGACTACTACCAACAGTGACGGTTCTGTTGAAACTGATTCTGGTATTGTCAGTCAATCCGGCTCATCCTTGACTACTTTGACTACCTTCCCACACGAAGCTACTTCTTCTGCTGAATCTGCTGAGTCTGGTGTTCAAACTGAATACACCACCACCTGGACTACTACCAACAGTGACGGTTCTGTTGAAACTGATTCTGGTATTGTCAGTCAATCCGGCTCATCCTTGACTACTTTGACTACCTTCCCACACGAAGCTACTTCTTCTGCTGAATCTGCTGAGTCTGGTGTTCAAACTGAATACACCACCACCTGGACTACTACCAACAGTGACGGTTCTGTTGAAACTGATTCTGGTATTGTCAGTCAATCCGGCTCATCCTTGACTACTTTGACTACCTTCCCACACGAAGCTACTTCTTCTGCTGAATCTGCTGAGTCTGGTGTTCAAACTGAATACACCACCACCTGGACTACTACCAACAGTGACGGTTCTGTTGAAACTGATTCTGGTATTGTCAGTCAATCCGGCTCATCCTTGACTACTTTGACTACCTTCCCACACGAAGCTACTTCTTCTGCTGAATCTGCTGAGTCTGGTGTTCAAACTGAATACACCACCACCTGGACTACTACCAACAGTGACGGTTCTGTTGAAACTGATTCTGGTATTGTCAGTCAATCCGGCTCATCCTTGACTACTTTGACTACCTTCCCACACGAAGCTACTTCTTCTGCTGAATCTGCTGAGTCTGGTGTTCAAACTGAATACACCACCACCTGGACTACTACCAACAGTGACGGTTCTGTTGAAACTGATTCTGGTATTGTCAGTCAATCCGGCTCATCCTTGACTACTTTGACTACCTTCCCACACGAAGCTACTTCTTCTGCTGAATCTGCTGAGTCTGGTGTTCAAACTGAATACACCACCACCTGGACTACTACCAACAGTGACGGTTCTGTTGAAACTGATTCTGGTATTGTCAGTCAATCCGGCTCATCCTTGACTACTTTGACTACCTTCCCACACGAAGCTACTTCTTCTGCTGAATCTGCTGAGTCTGGTGTTCAAACTGAATACACCACCACCTGGACTACTACCAACAGTGACGGTTCTGTTGAAACTGATTCTGGTATTGTCAGTCAATCCGGCTCATCCTTGACTACTTTGACTACCTTCCCACACGAAGCTACTTCTTCTGCTGAATCTGCTGAGTCTGGTGTTCAAACTGAATACACCACCACCTGGACTACTACCAACAGTGACGGTTCTGTTGAAACTGATTCTGGTATTGTCAGTCAATCCGGCTCATCCTTGACTACTTTGACTACCTTCCCACACGAAGCTACTTCTTCTGCTGAATCTGCTGAGTCTGGTGTTCAAACTGAATACACCACCACCTGGACTACTACCAACAGTGACGGTTCAGTTGAAACTGATTCTGGTATTGTCAGTCAGTCCGGCTCATCCTTGACTACTTTGACTACCTTCCCACACGAAGCTACTTCTTCTGCTGAATCTGCTGAGTCTGGTGTTCAAACTGAATACACCACCACCTGGACTACTACCAACAGTGATGGTTCTGTTGAAACTGATTCTGGTATTGTCAGTCAATCCGGCTCATCCTTGACTACTTTGACTACCTTTCTCACACGAAGCTACTTTCTTCTGCTGAATCTGCTGAGTTCTGGTGTTCAAACTGAATACACCACCACCTGGACTACTACCAACAGTGACGGTTCAGTTGAAACTGATTCTGGTATTGTCAGTCAGTCCGGTTCATCCTTGACTACTTTGACTACCTTCCCACACGAAGCTACTTCTTCTGCTGAATCTGCTGAGTCTGGTGTTCAAACTGAATACACCACCACCTGGACTACTACCAACAGTGACGGTTCAGTTGAAACTGATTCTGGTATTGTCAGTCAGTCCGGCTCATCCTTGACTACTTTGACTACCTTCCCACACGAAGCTACTTCTTCTGCTGAATCTGCTGAGTCTGGTGTTCAAACTGAGTACACCACCACCTGGACTACTACCAACAGTGACGGTTCTGTTGAAACTGATTCTGGTATTGTCAGTCAGTCCGGCTCATCCTTGACTACTTTGACTACCTTCCCACACGAAGCTACTTCTTCTGCTGAATCTGCTGAGTCTGGTGTTCAAACTGAGTACACCACCACCTGGACTACTACCAACAGTGACGGTTCTGTTGAAACTGATTCTGGTATTGTCAGTCAGTCCGGCTCATCCTTGACTACTTTGACTACCTTTGCACCAGAAGAAGAAAGCTCATTATTGTCTGGTTCAAATACTGTCGTCCCTACTTCAGTATCTGTTAGTGGTGTTACAACAGTTGAGCCGACTGCCAGTGGTTCAGGTTCTGGCGGATCTGGTTCTGGTTCTGGTTCTGGTTCTGGTTCTGGTTCTGGTTCTGGTTCTGGTTCTGGTTCTGGTTCTGGTTCTGGTTCTGGTTCTGGTTCTGGTTCTGGTTCTGGTTCTGGTTCTGGTTCTGGTTCTGGTCAATCAGGTAACGGTTCTGAATCCGGTAATGGTTCTGGTCAATCAGGTAACGGTTCTGATTCCGGTAATGGTTCTGAATCAGGCAATGACTCTGGAAACGGTTCTGGTAATGGTTCAGGTAGTGGATCTGGTAATGGATCTGGTAATGGATCTGGTAATGGATCTGGTAACGGTTCTGGTGAATCAGGAAATGGATCAGGAAATGGCTCTGGTGAATCTGGTAACGGTTCAGGTAATGGTTCTGAATCAGGAAATGGATCTGGCTCAAGTTCTGGTAATGGATCCGGTAATGGTTCAGGCGCAAGTTCTGGTTCTGGTTCTGGTAATGGATCTGGATCTGGATCTGGTGAATCTGGTGAATCTGGTGAATCTGGTGAATCTGGTGAATCTGGTGAATCTGGTGAATCTGGTGAATCTGGTGAATCTGGTGAATCTGGTGAATCTGGTGAATCTGGTTCTGGATCTGGATCTGGCTCTGGTTCTGGATCTGGTTCTGGATCTGGATCTGGTTCTGGATCTGGTTCTGACAATGGCAATGCTTCTGGATCAAGTTCTGGTGAATCCGGTTCTGGTTCTGGTTCTGGTTCAGTTGCCGGTAATGGTAATGGTAATGGTAGCGGTGCAGGCTCTACTGCTAGTGCTTCTTCTGATATTAACCCATCTACCAGTTCAACCCAAGCACCATCCCTGTTGGTTACAACCGTTTATTCCCAATCTACTTCATCTTCACCAGCTCCAACTTCTGTCGTTATTCCTGCGGAAAACGGCGCTATGAAGTATTCTACTGGCTCGATAATGTTTGGCATTGTCTATATCCTTATGGTTGCTATTTTCTAAGAATGATTAATAGTTAAATCACTATATTTTTTTTTTAACTTGGTTTTTCGGTCAAGTATGAAGTTGTTCTTCAACTAATTTCATTCCATTGATATCCTTACATACTTATAATTTGTTTTTCTTGTGGATAATTTTTATTTTCGTCTTATAATTGGCTTGTTGTTTAGGTACAGATTCGTTTCAAAGATAATCTGTACCTTATATTCCTTTGCTTGATTTTGCTTTTCTGTTTTTGTAATTGCTTGTTTGATCTAGTAGTTTTATATTTTCGGTTTTGATATTGTTTCAATATATATTTTTAAAATTTATTATATTTTTAGTTTAAGCTATAGCAAATGGTATTTATTCTATATTCTCCAAGTAATATCCAAAAAGGGTATCAAAGAAAGACATGTGTATATTGAACATATTGATGTTGTCTAATCGCTCACAATATATTGATACGAATAGTATACTATCACCTAATCACTTTTTTCTTGGTTTTATTTACAATCCGAATCAAACTAGATCTTTATTATAGGTGTTGAAAATCCAGTATTACACTGGATGGTGAATGATTAATATTACCAGACCTAATTATAAATTTGTTGATTAATTTCTTTTTATAGATTTTATAGTTCGATTTCTATTCACTTTCTAGCTTCCTTTTATAGTTTTCCTTAATTAATTTCTTGCTACCCTTTTCTAATTATACTGGTTCTTCTCAACTACTTATTAAACTTTGTATGACATCATAATTGATCTCTGGTATGGCCCTACATTTAAACGTCGTCACATGATATAAATTTGGCTATTCTCAACAGTAGGAAATATTTTTACACTTTCTTATAGCGACCAAGTCCTCGGAGATAAATATCATGTGAAATCTGATAAAACACGAATATTTGATACGAAGACCGAGTGTCGAATTCAACAGATTTGATTCAGATCTAGAATTTTATTAAGTAGTGGGAAAGCACAGCTGCTATAGAAAACAGTCTCCCGTCTTTGTAATAAGTCATTTAATAGTAAATGCAGTCCATCCAAGTTATAAGACATACCTTCAGTTATCTGGAATAGCAAAATAATTTACGGGCGTTTAGACGTGAAAATATGTTATTACAACTTTCCCATTGCCTTGTGATATTATCTAGTTGAATGTTATAACATGAATTTGGCCATATCTCATGGGAACCAACATATTACAGATTCATGAAAATTTTCTAAACGCCCTTGTAGCCTATCAACCTACGTATTCTTACAGACAGATCGATACTATAAATTCAGAAAAAATTTTCAGCAAAACAACTGCCACAAAGAGTACGGGTTCGATCAATCGCAGTTTTTAATTCCCGCAAACTTCTCTAGAGGAGTGTTACACTACTCGTCATTTAAAGAATCAGCTATAACATATTGGTGGTGAAGAGACTGAACTGGTTACTATATGCAGTCCGAAGAAAATTGTGGACACGACCGATGCCAGAAGAAGTGTCAATCGAGGAAATAGATATAAATGCTTATACTTAAGTTTGTGAAAATGTGCAAAATAGAAAGAACAATTGTATTGTTGCATAAGGTTGGGTGTTTCACCAATCTACTAGCAGGATACTGATTTCTGTTATTAAAACTTCACTAACGGACTGTGCGAACTTTAGTATGAGTCGCTTTTCCCGACTTCACTCCATTACAGTCGTTGCAGTTTTATTTCGCGCTAGTTTGAGCATAATTTTCAGATCAGTGAGTCAAAATTATTCGCACTATTTGCAAATAAAAGTTCATATTAAGGCGGTCAATATTTTTGATACTAGTGTGCAAAAAATGTTCATATTACATGACCTCTATTTGTTCATACTGAAAATGTATGATATATGGTATGAACAAAAAAGGGCAGCTAGTTTGAAAGTATTATTTCCGCTGGTGTGAACATTTTGACTCCATTTACTATGAACAATTAATCTCCCTTACTATAGATTAAATTGTCGCACTAGTATTAATAATTTCTTTGAACTTGGTACGAACTGAAAGTACAGAAACACTGTATCGCGAACAGAAAATCAAACAATTACTAAAATCATTAGCATCTCCATCAATGATACTATTCAAACTACCACATCATATAACCGCTCCCATTCACTTCAAACGTTTCAAATCCGACAAGAGTCTCAAAAATTACGTGAATCGAGTCCAAGGTGATAGTTTTGTCAGTCAAAGAAAAACCAGTCTTTATAAATCCCGAGCTGCTTTCAAACTCGAAGAAATCGATGATAAACTACATATATTCAAAAATGGAACAAGAAATATAGTAGATTTAGGATTTGCCCCAGGAGCATGGACTCAAGTTGCTGTTAATCGACTAGAATCCAAAAATTTACCATACAATATTTTGGGAGTAGATATTAATCCTGCCAGTCCCGTTAGAGGATGCCATTATATTCAAGGTGATGTAACTAAGAAATCAACCCAAACAAAAATTCTAGAGTTTTTCAAAAGATGTGATGTATTAGACAAAATCACATTTGAAGAAGACGAGTATAAACATATTGATCTTGTTATGTCTGATATGATGGTTAATACTACTGGATCATCGGTTAATGATCATTACGGCAGTATCTATTTATGTAACGCTGCTTTGCATTTAGCTTTTCACCAATTAAAACCAGGGAAGGATTTTGTGGTTAAAATTTTCAATGGATCAGAGTTGGATCTGTTTCAAGCAAGATTGAAGTTGATGTTTGCACAAGTTCACGCGGTTAAACCTAGAGCTAGTAAAGATGTACTGAGTGAATTATATCTAGTAGGCAGAAAGAAGTACGATATGAAAGAAAAAGGGATTACCATTGAACAGTTATTTGGATGACACCACTTATATATTTATATATAACAATATACGTGATACTATCCAATCTCTATTAATAAACTATAAAACTGCACCAAAACCAAAAGTGATTTTGATAGCTCTAATGTAACGCTCTTCAAAGTTTTCTTTGACACGTTCTTCTTGTCCAATTGGAATACCCGTCATTTTAATAATTATGTTGGTTTCACCAGCACCTTGAACAAAGTTCAAGTCAACTTCAGCAAAGTGACCTTCTTTCCAATCAGAAAGACGCCAAAGCATTTTGATTTCTTTGTTTTCAGTTAGACTAAGGAATTTACCAGAAACTGAACCACCAAACATTTGGAAATCACTACCTAATTTAGGAGGGAAGTCTTCAATTACTGGGAAACTTCTAGTCCATGCAGAAATTCTTTCTCTTTCAAGGAATGTTTTGTACAACTGTTCAGCTGTGGTGTTGAATGATGGCTCTAAATGTAAAGTAGAAGTGTTGTATTTTGGAATAATGGTTGATCCCTCAGCATATACAACTTTCTTATGGCTGGAAATTTTATCGGAGACCAAATCCTTTTGTGATGGTGGAGATGGTGCTTTAACCGGTTCAGGTTTCTTTTCAACTGGTGATTCAACCTTTTTCTTAACTGGCTGTTGTCGCTTTTCTTTCTTGACGGGTTCAGTAGAAGTAGAAGTAGCAGTAGCAGTTTGATTGGCCTTGGTGAAAGTAGAAGTGACTTTATCTTGAGATAATTGAATATCTCTACTGTTAGTTTCAATCAAATCTTTACCAAATTTCATCAATTTCTTTTTTAATTGAGGAATTATTTGCTTTTTAATAAATAAACTTATACCAGTATTTTGGGAGTTTTCATTATAAACAGTAATTTCAAATTGTAATTCGTCTTCTTCAGTATCATAAGTCAATTCTGGAATAGTGATTGATCCATTGATATTATCATCTTTGGCATTATAACCATGATATGTTAAGATAATTCTAACGTCAAATAAAGAAATCACTTTACCTTTACGTTGTGAAACATCAACATCACCTTCAACTGAGGAAACTTCTTCAATCTGGACATATTCATCTGCATTCATGGCATCCAATCCAGTCAAGTGTTCTTTGAAATATTCGACAGACCATGGAAGACAGTTCTTGTCAACCCAATGCCAGTTATTTGGATTATTAACAACCATTATGTACGTGTAGAAACAGTAGTGTTTTCGAGGGATTATATTAGTGGATTAATAATTTTTCAGTACGGATTTATATGCTCTCTCTCTCTCTCTGTCTCTTTAGCACGTTCGTGTAGAAAACTCTAGAACCTTTTTTTTTTCAATTTGTTAGCAGGTCACAGAAAAGTCGTGCAAAATGTGCAAATATCAAAGTCCGGAAAGCATCTATCATTTATCAATTGATTTCACAGGAAAACTATCAGATATCATATGTGGAGATAAATTACTTTCCAAATAAAATGAAATATCAACCATGGAAAGAAAATCATTCTACAACATTCCATCACAGCAATCATTGTGGAGAAGGAAAAAAAATAGGAAAGTAATCACATATAAATATCTCTCTCAGTCAGTCATTTGTACTGACTGAGAAAAAAAAAAAAAATCAAATCACTGTATCACCAATTCATTTTACTAGACAGGTACCCAATTGAATAAATATCGACATATATATCATGTTCACATCATCAGGAGAAAAGGTAACATATGCACCAGGAAAAGGAGAACGTGCAAAATGTTGGGAAAAACGTGATATATTTTTTGGATGTTTACAAAAACATTATATTGATAATTCATTAGATTCAAAAGAATTAAAAAAAGTAGATCGTGAATGTGGTAAAGAAAAGAAAGAATTTGAACAAAATTGTGCTAGTAGTTGGGTTAAATATTTCCAGGAAAAGAGATATAATGATTTAGTAAGAGAAAGATATATTGCCAAATTGGAAAGTGAAGGTGCTCAACCATTACCTTTTAAGATTGAAGGTGTCAAGAAGTAATTTATATCCTACGTGATGTCCGTACATAGTCTAACTACAATTTATTAATTAAACTGTTTGATTTCTTGTATTTATTTTATATATATATATATATATTCAATGATTTTAATATGCTGAAATGTAAACTTGTTCTCTACTTAAGACTTGTTCAGTTAATAAATCAAGTACTGTACCCCATTCAAATTCCCCACGTTCTATTATTACAAAACTAACTTCCAATTCAAGTTTTTCGCCCGGCTTGATCTCATGAAATTTATTCTGTAATGTCCCATTGATTAACATTTTCTTGTCAATTGATACCAGCGGACGCAATATGGTTCCTGGAGATGCTCCATGTAAAGGTAATGGTAAATGACGCATAATACCCAGTATAGTATCTTTGGAATCATTAACAATGCTGGATTTCAATACATAGAATTCATCTAACGATAAATTGTAAGAATTACCAACTCGATCTACTGGTTTGCCATTATCCTTGAGGATGACATTAGATATATGAACCTTTTCGTAGACAAACATATGTGCCATTTTAGAAGTAAGTCTAATTGCACGCAAATCAATAACCCCTTCACGATTTGCCAAATTCCAACTACCCAGTAATTTCTCCAATATTGAATATCTCAACCAGAATAGTTTCTTCATTTGTTTTTCTTCTTCTTCTGTGATGTTGTAATTTTTCACAAATTGTTTGTTCCGTAATGATGGAATAGGTTGAGAAACATCTGGGCTTATCCTCTTTACTGGAATCACGATTCTCAGAGTTTTTCCAGCTTGAATGGGTTCACTCACTTCGAAATCCTCATATTTCAAGTGACACAATAACTTCTCACTCCAAGAGTTTCTCAAATCAAGAACTAATAAACAATAATCATCACCTTTTTGAGAATACTCAACCACTTTCTGCAATCCCGGTGGCACTTTATCCAGTAACGACATAACTGGAAAGATATCACACCCAACAACATCAATAGAAGGCATAACTGAAACATTCAATGGGATATCCAAATTTTTCAAGAAAACAGTCGATTCTTTTGCACATTTTTGAGCATAGTCAAGTACAATTTTCAGTTCATTCATAAACTTACGACTTGTTAATTCACATTTGAGTTCAACATTTTTCCCTGGTTCAATATTTTCTCCAATGATATCTTTATTCAAAATCTTGAATGGTTTAAACTTTAGTAAATGCCATTCCAATTCGTAAATCTCTACCGCAGACAAATTTGTGTTTGTGAGTTTCTTATTGATAAACTCAACTGTCGAATCCCAAAATGAGAAGGAAAGATAGTTGATTGGCTCCGAGGAATTGTTTGTCAAAGTAACTGAGACTTCATGCTTCTCACCTTCCAATAGCATAAGACACCCATTTGATGCCAGAATATCTAGCAAAGTCAATGAAGGTTGTGGAGGGATTATCAATAATGGCAACAGGCGGATTGATACTCTTGAATTAATGCTATTCATATCACCATCATGAAGATTATGTACAAGTTGATCAAGTGTTGAGGTTGATGAGTCAAATTCCTTGGTTTCTGGCGACAACTTTATTGCATAATCAAATTTTTCCTTGTCAACAATACGGAAGAATTGGGACTGACAATTGCCCACTGAAATATCAAACCCCGTAATTCTAGTATTCCCACTAGATAAAGCTTTGAAAGAAATTAAAAACTTTTCTGATGAGTTTGGTGGAATTATTAATGTATGAACTGAATGCGCAGATGCAACTTGTGACATCGTAGTTGTTGTAGCGGATGATTTCTTGCCATTACCGTTTTGTCTTAATTTGTTATTGAAAATACCCGATGCGTTTTGGTAGCTTGGTGTCGATACATAAGTCAGCAGTTCTGTGGCTATTTGAATTAAACTTTTTATTGTTTCTAATTGAACACCTTCACTTACAATCAAAATATCATTGATTTCAACTTCAAAGGCAAATGGATTTTGCAATGTTACCTTCAACTGATATATATCCTCTGCAATCAATGTAGGAATCTTGGTAGGGTCAATATTCTTCTTTGCATAAGGATCAAAGAATGGCGTCCCAGACCCTTGACTATCGCCACTACCATCTGGTCGATCACTAATTGGAATCAACTTACCACGTGATTTGGAAGAAATAAATTTAACCCTTCTTACTAGGAATGGATCCCAGTATGGGGTAACCAAACCTCTGTTATTTGCCAAAATATCATCAATTTTGTTTCTGAGTTTGATTTGATCATCAGGTGGTAAGCAATGGGTGTATCTTGTGAGCAACAAACTAGAAACTTTCAAGAGGAGTGACTTATCTGGTAAATTTTCACCAATTTTCAAAGCCAATCGCAATACTTGAATTTGCAAAGATGTCCAATTACTCAGTGCGTGGAAAAATGCATCCCTTGACGAGGATTCCGGTTCTGAATTTATCCCATAAATAACAAACAATGTATCAAGTATATCACTTACTGATTCTTGTGGAAGATCAGAAGAACTTAATTGAGGCAATAATCCAACAAGCAATACTCTTAGAATAAATGCTTTTTTTCTATAAAATCCCAATTCTGTGTATAATGTTGCCAAAGCCGAGTAAATTCTGCACTGATCCACAATGTTCATGTTAACTAGTTGCATTTGGAATATTTTATCAATTTCACCAATGATTTCCTGTTTCGAAATGTATTTGTTGATTTTGGCCGTGGTAGTAGAATGGCTGCTACTACCCTTGACAATCTCCTCAATGGTATTCGAGAAATGAAACCCTGTTAATAATTTAATCTCGCGCAAAATACTTTCAACATAAACAATATCTGGCACCATATTCTCAAAATCATTCGAAGTTAAACCATAGAAATATATCGCACGAGCCAAGATAATCTTTACGAGGTCAGGTGTGGCCATGTTATTCAAATCTGGGTTCGTGGTCAATGCATTTAAGCTAAACCCATTAGAACTAGACATGGAATTCCTTGGAGATTTGACGGATCCATTTGATTCAACTGATGGTTTTCTTGCCATGACAGTATCTGCAGCCGTCTTGAATTTCCCAACTTGTAAGATAGAATTCAAAGTCTGACTTGGTAGTTGGTATGCAACACCAATAAATTCCATTAAAAGCATACTGATAGCAACACCTTCTAAAGCACTCGCTAGCCATAAATAATCTTCGCTTTTCTTTAAACTGGTCAAACATTCTGTAAAATTTTGAAAAGCCGCATTATATTTACCTGCTAAGAGGTAGAAGTTACCCATTAGTTTTCTTTGTCTTCCTAAATGCTTCAAATGTGTCTTTGATTTATCTGATGGAGATGGAGATGATGGCCCATTTGGTGTAGGAGTAGTACTAAAAGAAGCTTTAAATGATGTTGACCCAGAACTCAATCTCTTTTGTGCTTGGCTAATAGTTTTGGCCAATACGTTCCCATCAGTTATGGAAACGGGTGACCTTAATGTAATGTTTGAATATGATGACGCGTACTCATCCAATGCTTTCAAAAATGAACCACTAATATCACAAAAAATGGTTTCTAATGCTGTCAAATGACTTAGGTTCGAATTATGGTAAAACACATTCTCGTCTCCTTTTGATTTCAACTTATCCTCTGGACTATCAAACAAAATCAATTTATGTACAATTGCAGTGTGGTATTCCTTGGCTAGTTCTTTTAATGATGTATCCGGTGAAATCCCTTGATTATAAGGACCCACACCTAGTACGATGAATGTTTTTCTGAATGGTTCGAAATCATGTAGGAAAATCAATTCATTTTCTATGCTACTTGATATGAATTCAGGGAATATTCGACCCTGAGGAAAACTTGCTGGGTTGAAGTGATGCAAATCATTGTTTTCAGTGATATCCAACAATCGTACTTCTGGAACATTACTCTTGATCAAATTGACATATCGTTGGAAATTTGAGGTTGTACAATTATTGATTGGCACTAGTAGAATGCGGACCTTTGCTGGTGTTATAAAATTGTATTTATCCGTCATATAGATACTAGAACTATGGATTTTTTTTTATACACGTCGAGTTGAATTGATATGATATGAAAGATAATTCCTCGAAATATATAAATGCAACTATGATCTAGCGACAAATCAACAACAAAAACAAGACACGAATAATCATGAAAAAAAAAAAAAAAAAAAATTTAAAAGGGAAAAAAAAAGAAAGAAAATAAAAGCCAATCGACGGGTCGTGTGCATTTGTCGATTTGTTGATTTTTTTTTTTTTTCTTCTGTCGCTGCCAGAACAACCATTTTTCACTTAAACGGAGGGCAAAAAAAAAAAAAAATAGCGATACAAGTTTAACCCGAGAGTTTAATATTTATCAACAAGTATCATCTACAAGAAACAGAGACCAATGGTGGGATTAAATTTTGACAATTATCAAAGAAACGCATTCTTAACAACAAAGGGATTTGCCAATCCAAAGGCGACTTCCACAGGTACCACAATTGTTGGATGTAAATTCAAAAATGGAGTGGTTATCGCTGCCGATACCAGAGCTACTTCAGGACCAATAGTGGCAGATAAAAATTGTGAAAAATTACATAGATTGGCACCTAAAATTTGGTGTGCCGGGGCTGGTACAGCTGCCGATACCGAAATGGTTACTCAATTGATTGCATCTAATTTGGAACTACATGCATTATCTCAAAACAGACAACCAAGAGTTATTGCCGCTCTTACAATGTTGAAACAGCATTTATTCAAATACCAAGGACATTTGGGTGCATATTTGATTGTTGCTGGTGTTGATCCAACAGGAGCCCATTTGATGTCTGTTCAAGCCCATGGTTCTACTGACATTGCCAAATACCAAAGTTTGGGATCTGGTTCTTTGAATGCAATGGCTGTTTTGGAAACATATTTCAAAGAAGATATGACAAAGGAAGAAGCCATTAAATTATGTTCTGATGCCATCTTGGCTGGTGTTTGGAATGATTTGGGTTCTGGTTCCAATGTTGATGTTTGTGTTATGGAAGTTGGCAAAGATGCCGAATTGATGAGAACTTACATTACTCCAAATGTTAGAATCCAGAAATGTAAAGATTATAAGTTCCCAATTGGAACTACGGCAGTTTTAAATAAAAGCGTGTATGACATTTGTGATGTTGAAGAGTCCGTGGTTACTTTTGATGACAATGGTGACCAAATGGAAATTGATGCACAAGCTTAGGAATAGATTAGAAATAAGTATACGAATTTGATATTTTTTTTATTCAATTAAGATAATTGTAGAACTAAAACCATGTAAATAATTTTATATTTTGAACTAAACTCTAAATGCTATATAAGACTAGCTAAAACAAAAGGAGGGTATTAAAAACTATTTCGAAAATCAATCCTCGTTATACAGCTATACATGTAAACGACAAGAACTGTTTTCTAATAGCATCACGTTTATTTTTTGGAACTTTTTGGAGCCAAAATACCTCTGATAGGACTACTGATGGCTTTAGTAATAGAGTCAATGGTAGCAACACCTTGACCACCAATACCAGCATTACCATAAGTATTACCATTACCAAAGATACCAGCAGTAGCTTGGTTTTGATGTTGCAAGTCAGCACCAGTACCTGGGATGGCATTGTTGGATTTAGTTGGAGCAGAACTAGATGTTTGTCCAGAGGCTTGACCAGAAGTTTGACCGGAGGCTTGGCCAGAAGTCTCACCAGAGCCACCAGTGGAAACTTGGGCACTACCTTGAGCACCAGCATTTGGATCAACTTGGGCAGAACCAGAAGCAGAACCTTGTGGAGTTTGAGCACTACCAGAAATAACAACGAAACCATCTGGAGATGAAGAATCACCACTACCAGAAACAGATCCAGAAGCTTGAACTGAAGCACCAGCAGTAGCAGTACCATCCGCAGGAACTTGAACAGTTTGAGTAACTTGGCCAGAACCACCTTGTTCACATTCGACACATGTAGAACCAGAGCCAGTTGAGCCGGAACTAGAACCTGAACTGGAACCACCTCCGAGTAAACCACCACCCAAGAGGGCAGACAAACATGGAGCACCCATAGTGGTAGAGGCAGCAAGGGCAATAGCAGTAAGAACTTGGAACTTCATTGTGTAATAATTATTTTAATATAAGCGATTGAGATTAAAGTTGGGTTATGATTTTTTTTTAAAAACAAAAAGTAAAAAGAATACAATATAGGAAAAGGATTTGAATTATAGTTTTTTTTTAAAACAATAAATTGGAAAATTGGGATAGGTTTTATATGAGAGGTGAAACAAGGCAAACAATATATATATTAATTGTGATATACGGGTAACTCTTTAATTGTTACAGATTATAATGTGGCAGTAATTATTATTATTCTTTCTGAGTGTATGAAAAAGTTTTGTTTTTCACCGTTAATGGATATCAATTCCAGTTGCTAAATTTCATCGTGGAATGGTGTGTGAAGTTGTATGTGGCTGCCAAATTAGAAAATCTTTATTTCTCTCCCTCTCTCTTTTCTGTGGCAAAGCAAATGGTAACTTTTTCTTGGTAGGAATGTTGATTCAACAGTCTATGTATGGAGACAGAATAGTCTATGTTTTGTCAAACTTTACCTTATTTTCTTTGTAATTACAGTTAATTATGTGCAGAGAAGGCTTAGACTTGAGTGAGAGGGTTCAAGAGGCGCTCTAAATCGACCAACCTTAAAAGTAATGGGCGTAAATTATGGGGTAGTTTTCATAGTAACTGGGCTTAGTTATCGGATGGTGAAATGTACTCCCAAATAGCAGTCTCTAATGCGCCAAGGAATAAGTTGCCATGGTTGAAGCTTGAATTCGAAGATTTCTGGATATTTCTTGTCCTGAATATCAGTAAAATACTCATGATGAAGTAACTTAGCATGTGGTCTGAAACTTCCAATGACAATAGTTCAGTTTATCATTACAACAAAAATCAACATTCATTCTAGAATTTTATCTTTCCTGTATATTATTGTTACCTTTTTTGAAGTATGGCTTGAGTTATAGAAGTTCGCCGATCTAATACTCCAAAGCGATCTACATACGTTTTTTATTGTGTATGAAAAAGAATATGATCTACATTTCCAGTTATAACTAATAACCTTGTTTCGAGTCGCGCTAAATCCCTAAAAGGAGACAACTGAAGTACCAAAGGAGCATGTGTACCCCTGTTTCGATATTTCCAAGAGATCAATTACACTTTGGTTGAACTCGCAAATAACCGACCTGTCATTGCCACGAGGTTTTTTCTTGTTTTTTTATCAAGGTGTCGCCATACTTTCATCAACGTGTTTGCTTGCTCAAATGTTTGATTTTCTGGTTATATTTCACCAAATTCCTATTGGTGTGATTAAAGTCAATCAAATTTGATATTCGTTAGGTAATTGTCATTACGCCTGTCAAAATTTTCTCCAAGGAAGGCTTAAGTTTCATCTCGTAATTCGCAGTTCCGTTTTATGTTCCAACTGAACGCGATTCGCAACTTTAACATTCCCTGATCGCACAATTTTTATTTTGGTACTCGCGGTTGAGCGACACTAAAACGCAGACAGTGTTAACGCGATTAAAAATAATAATAATAAAAACAGACAAGAAACATATTGACAGAATGGAGGGGACAAGAAGACAGACACAACTGGGAAGTTTGGGATTGACAAGTTGAAGTTGAATATGATAATCAATTTTGGTATCTTCGTGTTCCTTGTTTTACCTCCATGGTATCTGTATGGTTGCAAAATATTTACTAATCTTGAAAAATCACAGTGAAGAATTTCTCGGCACAACTCCTTTTGTTTTACCGCACCCAAATTCTAATAATAGTAGGTATAACCGTTCCTTATGTGATAATTCCATATCTCTTGGCAAGTTTTCTGATTTAATTTTTGAAGATTCAAATCATGAAACTATGCCGAGTGGTAATGTGTTTCCCCAGGTACAAAGAACGTTATAAAAGAAGCAATAAATAACCTCAAAAAAAAGGTGTTACATTTCATAAAATATCACCCATAATACAACTTTTTAACACAAACCAACAAACTATTTATTCAAAATGAGATTTAACTACGCCTTAATTGCTGCTACCTTAGCTATTTACGCCCAAGCTGCTGCTGTCGACGGTGCTACCCATGCTGAAGTTGTTGCTAGAGCAGAAGGTGGTGCTCAACAAGAGGTTCCAACTGATATTGTTTCCCAAATTATTGGTGCCATTTCCCAAATCTTGGAAACTTCTTTTAGTGGAAGTGGTGCTATGCTTTCTAACTTGATTGGTTAAATTTCGTTAGTTGCTTGAATTTTATACTTAAATTTTATTATACCCAAGTGGATATCAATTATATATTCTTCGCTTCAATAAACAACTATTCTGAATTCAAAATAAGTACTGTAAGGCACCAATTTGTTAAGCAATTCAACATCTCTCATTGACAAGTCAGTCTGTCTTTTCTCCAAAGAATACAATATTTACAATGATTCAATCACGTTCAAATCTATTCGGATTACTAACATTTCAATCAGTAAAACCGATTACATATACTTCGTTTGTGAATGCTACCATATGACATGTAGATCTTTTCATTCTATTGCACCACTAGAAATTTTCTTGGTAACCCATAGTTAAGAAAAATAAATTGAACCAGTCATGTTTTTTCTTGTCATAGAATGATAAAACACAACCTCAATAAATTCTTCTGCAATTCTGTTTGACCTATTATTCTATCATCAACTTCGAGAAGGTATCGCTTCAATGGTAGTTTTAATCAGTGTGGTTGTAAAAACATGATTTCTAAGGACCCCTGAAAGCAGCAAATAAAGAGGCTTAGCTCATTTCTATAAGCGAGAAACTAATAATATGCTGCCAAAACCTAAGAATTAATTATTAGAAATTTCATCGTAAAGATAATCAAAATAGTAGATCCATTCTTCAGCATGGTAAGCTCAAACGAATATTTGCAAGAATACAAAAACTTTGAAAGATGAAAAATAATAATAACAAGGTCACTAATTATTGTTTCAGCTGAGCAACTGAAGTCTATGGATTGAATGAACAAACAACGTTTTTGAAACTATATAAAGAGGGAGCATTATTCATCATTTGGAGAAAATAAAAATTGTTGGAAAAGTTTTATTTATCATCACTTATCACGAATAACAAACTTTTTTACTGATACTATGAAATTCGCTACTTTATTTGCTGCTTCTGTTGCTATCTCTGCTGCCAACGCTACATTTCTCCCAGGCTTATTAGGTGGTAGTTCTGGTGGTTACGGAAGTTCTTCCGGTGGTTCGACTGTTGAAACTTCTTGTGGTGGTTCTGGTTCTGGCTCTGGTTCTTGTGGTTCAACCTCTGAACAATCATGTGAGCAACCTTGTGAACAACCTTGTGACACTACTGGAGGTTCTGCTGGTGGTTCTACTAGTACTCAAGAAGAAGTTCCTACTGATATCAAATCTCAAATTATTGGTGCTATTAGTCAAATGTTAGAAACTACTTTCAGTGGTAGTGGTGCTATGCTTTCTAACTTGATTGGTTAAGTTTATATAATCAATTCTTTATACCTTAAATTATATTTTTAATATATATCTAAATGGTTTCTCAATTACGAAGGTTCTTGTTTTTTTGCAACAATTAGCAGAGGTTATGTTCCTTGGGAATTGTCTTGACATTGTTTATTACCAAAACTAGCTTGTAGAACTAGAATTTGGTAGCATCTAGCAGCAACACATTTTCTGTCTGTATATAGATAAAAGTACAGATTTACACAACTATAACTGGGATTTGGTAATTTCGATATGAATCTCTGTATTTCTTTAATAATATGTCAAGAAACTGTTAATTGTAGAGCAACTGTTTTGACAAATAACTCTGACATCAAAACTTGGTTGACAACTTATACATAGGTTCACACTCACTGAAAAATGTCTAAATACAGAAAATATGGTTTATACACATTTATAGACTCATGCACCATCAAACCATCTTCACTCAGTGTCGTAATTCATTTTGCGACAGTCCAATTTTTTTTTGTGTCTGACATTAAACACATGGTAGCTCCCAAATACATCGCGCATCGAATTGTATGTAACCACCAGAAAGGAGACAAAACAATAGTGATGAGTTTATTTATTATAACATTCTTTGAGTGAAGTGTTATTATTTATAGATTATCATTAATTACTAAAACACAGTTGATTATTTGTTGGGTTGATATTATCGTTACCAGTCGAGGCTTATATGTTTGCATTAAGGACCAATATAGTGAGTGTGGTATTTAACTAGATACTGGAAAATCAATCTCGTTATCATATCGATCCATACACACTAAGCCATGTTAATCTATAAACGACCGCCTGAAAGGTAAGTTAGAAATGGTATAAAAAGGCATCCATTCATCATCTTTCGTAACCATTTTGTTGATATTTTCAAATCATCATCATAAACAATAACTATGAGATACTCTGCTTTATTGACTTCTGCAATCGCTTTATCTGCTGTCAACGCTACTTTCCTTCCATTTTTGTGTGGTGGTTCTGGTCTCGGTTCCCTCTTGGGTGGCTCTTCTGGTGGTTCTTCTGGTGGCTCTACATCAACTCCAACCCAAGCACCTCAAACTCCTTGTGAAGAAAGTGCTGCTCCAGCTCCACCACCTTGTGAAACTTCTACTGCAGCTGCACCTCCACCATGTGAAACCACACCAGCTTCAGAACCTCCTTGTGAGGAAGGTGGAAGTGGATCGTCAACACCAGCTGCTGAATCTCCTTGTGAAGAAGGTGCAAGTGGTTCTGCCACTTCAGCTACAAATGGAGAAGATTCTTCTTCTTCTGCTCCCCCAACTGACATGATGTCACAAATGATTGGTGGTCTTTCCAATATGTTGGAAACTGGCTTCAGTGGAAGTGGTTCTTTATTGCATAACTTGATTGGTTAAGCTAGAACGCATTTTATTTTTTATTTACATTATACCTTGATATTATCTACAATACAAATTCGTGATATTCTAATTTGTACTTTCTTTACTCTCTGCATTTTTCTTGGTCTTCTTGGCAACGGTAAAACAGTAATCATAACCTGAGCAAGTACTACCGTGGTGCTACAACTTTGAGGCAACTCAAAGCCATAATGTATTATATATTCGTACCTGGTTGGGGACCTTTCAAGGCTTTGAAAGTGTTGGTTGTAGCCGTTGAAGCTGTTTTCTTACGTTAGTTACAAACCAAGTCGTAGTTTTGCAGCACAAAATAATTATGTCCGAAACTCGCGTTTTTCGGTCTGCATGTCGCTTAACCTAATTTTCAATATTACAGAAATATCCTGTTTGATGCGACTACTGTGGTTATTCAACAGTCTATGAAGAAAAGTATTTCTGGATAGTACTATAATTGTTAGGTGAACATATGTTGTCATTTAAGCTTTTGAAAGGAGAGAGAGAAATGAATATACGCAACGGAGAAACTCCCTCCACATTGTTATATTTACACTAAAAATAGAAAATATGCGATTTGCAGATGATCTTCCATGTTGTCAAAATCCCACCAAGAAACATTCAAATTTCGACTTCAAAAATGATCGTTGATGGTGTATTTTTTCTTAGTTTGAGCCAAGACTTTAATGGCGATGACGAATATTATCACCTAAATGGGTTATAAAAGATATCAGCAATTACCACGGTCATAGAGAACCCAGATATTCAATATGTCAAATAAAATTTGTTATACATCCAATGGCCAATAGTTGAGTTTTAAAAAATAATTATAAGCCACGTTTTTACATTCCATTCTCAAGTGCTACACAAGAATGTCGATGGTCGTTTTTTTTTTATTTTTTATATTGTATGCGGTTCAGGAACAACCAGTGCGCGAAGTAATTGATCCGCGTAGACAAAAATATTCCATTCCTATGTTTACAACTATAGGTTCTAAACCCATAGCCATGGTCAAAATATATCATTCCAGGAACTCAGTATTGGTCCATAATGAGATTAGTATAAATATTCCAAAGCAGTTCAAAATATATTTTTCAGCCTTTTTTTTGAATCGGTTAATTATCAAGTTCTTCTCTATAGATCCACTACCACCAAATATTCGTATTAATTCGCTACTAAAATGAAATTCAATAACATTTTGACTATTACTTTAATTGCTTCAGGTTCTGTCCAAGCTGCTGTTATTCCACAACAAGCCAATGAACTTATTGCTAGAGAAGATTCATCCAACCCACTTTCAAGTATCTTGGGAGCAGTTACTGGAAGTTCTGCTTCTGCAACTGGTTCAGATGAAGCCGCTTCTTCAGACGTTCCAACCGATCCATTATCTAGTGTTATTGCTGCCATCTCCAATATCTTAGAGGGTTCATTTTCAGGATCTGGTGCCTTATTGCACAACACTATCGGTAAGAGAGAAGACGATTCATCTGTTCCAACTGATCCATTGTCATCTATTATTGCCGCTATTTCTAACGTATTGGAAGGTACCTTCTCAGGTTCTGGTGCATTATTGCATAATACTATTGGTAAGAGAGAAGATGATTCTTCTGATGCTCCAACTGACCCATTATCCAGTGTTATTGCTATGATTTCCAACATTTTAGAAGGAACATTTTCTGGTTCTGGGGCTTTGTTGCACAACACCATTGGTAAAAGAGAGGACGGCTCTGCTGCTCCAACTGATCCTTTATCTTCCATCATTGCTGCCATTTCTAATGTTTTGGAAGGTACTTTCTCAGGATCTGGTGCTTTGTTACACAACACCATCGGTTAAACTTGATATTGTTATTTAAAAAACTTTCTTCCTCTCTATTGTTATCACATGCTACGAGATGTCTACTTTTAGTTTATAGTTGTATTTGACGTTTTATTAGTACTGTCTTTAAATAATTGACTATAAAAATATATATTATTTTCATAAATATGAATTTTTGCAACATTTTTAACCAAACAAAAATTGTGTCTGGAAATTCAAGGCACCCACCGACTTGTACATTGTAGTTCGTCTCTCTCTACTTTCACAAATTAGAGAATACAAGTCCAGACACTTGTTAAAATTTGTAATCCATGTGGTAGAAACAAATGAGTGCAAATTCTTAATTAAAACGAATATTTTTCAATGGGCGTGGTGGTGAAGATTGTCGTGCCTCCGCATATCTTTAATTTTTGTTGTTTTTTTTTCTTAATTTGCAAATCATTTGGAAAAAAAAAACAAATAAAGTCATACAAAAAGTCCAATAAGTATTAGTGGTTGTTATTTCATCTTCCATTGAAATGTAAAACAACGGCTATTTTACAATGTTTGGTTTTTGCTTGACTATCAAGTCTTTTTTGTTGTAGAGCGTATAATGGCACATCTGTACTACTGGTCAGGTACCGAGACTTGAGCCAAGAATTAAAGCCAAGAACTAGGTATAATAAAGGGGACCATCTGATGAACAATTCTTGGTAACATTACAGATCAATTATGCTCTCTACAATTAATTAAGCCATCCCCTGAAATCCCCTTGTTTCAATCAGAATTAATTTGAGATTCAATCAATAATGTCAATCTTTTTGTTTGTGTTTCCATAAATTAGTTGCTGGAATTTGCGGTTTTACTAAATTCAGCGAAGTGAAACTTTCTCTTTATCTATAATATTTTACCAACAAAGAATAAATCCTCTACTTCGTGATTGAACCTCATTTTTGTAGTATATAAAGGTGGGTGAATATCCTAGATGTTTGGTTTCCCGGTTTACAAATTTATTCTTTCAACAATATCAAACAATCTATTAAAATGAAATACGGTGCTTTATTTGCAACTGCTTTTGCTATTTCCGCTGCTAATGCTACTTTCCTCCCAGGTTTGTTGGGTAGTTTGGGAGGTTCTTCAAGTGGCTCAACCTCTTCCAGTGGTGAAGGTTCTGCTCAACCATGTGACACTTCTGGTGAAGGTTCTGTTGAAACTGTTTACGTTTCTGGTTGTGAAACTGGTAACTGTGGTGGTGCTCAAGCTTCTACTGGTGGTACTGCCACTACCGGTGGTGAAGCTAGTGGTTCTTATGACCAATCTTCATCTTCTACTTCTGAAGTCCCAACTGATATGTTTTCACAAATGATTGGTGGTCTTTCCAGTCTTTTGGAAACCGGTTTCAGTGGTAGTGGTTCCTTGTTGCACAACTTGATTGGTTAAGAGTTGTCATTGACACATATTATATTTGTATACCCCCCTTTTTTTTTTTTTGTTATGTACATCTATAGTTAATGAGATGTTGATTATAATTGATAAATAGTATGGTCTAGATTCACTGTAATTGCTTCACGTGCCTTGATTTATAAGAGAATGTCGTGTACAAGGTACAAATACTTTTAGCCCTAGAAAAGAAAAAAAAAACGCTGTATGAAAATAAGTGAAATTTAAGTTTGTTAATATGAATTTACTCTTTTGGAAATAGGTTGATGAACTAGAAGCGTATAATATAGTGGCTTCGTCTATTTATTAAGCCTTGTTAGCATATAAAGTTCAACTTTGTTGGAGGCATAATTCGTCAAGAACTTTTGAAACTAGTATTCCAAGTTTACTTAGCATGTAGATAGCTGTAAGACATTTTTGCAACTGACCTCAAAACCACACAAAACGGAAAATTTCCCAAGACAAGAAAGTAATTGCAATGATGAAATCTAAGGGGAGGGATTAAAGGTACAACAGGTGGTTTATATTATAGAAATCAACCACAGGTACGTTTTATTTCATAGATGTTTTTACGTGTTTAGGGAAATTTCATACTTTTTAGACGCTGATCTAGATTGTAGAATTTTTTTTTCCTTTGGCAAAGCGATCTTGTAAATTACTGTTTTAGGAAAACAAGTGAAAAAAAAAAATGGAGTGTTGCGAAACAATGATGTTTTTAACTATTAAGGAAAAGAAGCTTTCACTATTCAATTATACACAGAAAAAGGGGAAAACGACCATTAATGATACCAGTCCTGGTATACAAGCATTATTCACAATATATAAGAAAAGAATAATATCCTGGTTTGTTCGGTTTTTGAAATTTTTTCTAATTTTTTTTATTTATTATTTTTTTTGTGTAGTTAGTTCATTTCCTTCGTTAATTATCGACTGTATCTTTGCTGGTATTCAACAATGAGATTAACTACTTTATTTGTCACTGTTTTTATTATAACTACAGCTAATGCTTCTTTCCTTTCCTGGGTCAGTTCAATTTGGTCATCATGGAGTGGTGGATCTTCAAGCACACCAGCTGTAACTTCAACTGCTACTGGTTCTTCTCCTGCAGAAACAACTGCTGCAAACCCAGGTGGTGATGACCTTGATTGTGATACTGATGATGACAATGATGATGATTATCCAACCACAACTACCGCTCCACCAGCAACCACTCAAACATCTCCACCAACTACTTTGACAACTAGTTATACTACCAGTGGAGGTGATGATGAAGGTGAACCGGGCGATGACGATGAATGTGACGACGATGTCCCAACTACTGACGGTGGAGATTCTGGTTCCGCAGCAACCACTTCAGCATCCACTGGAGGATCTTCTAGTGGTCTTTTCGGAAAAATTGTTTCTTGGATTAGTGGCTGGTTTTAGTTCTTTTCAACCTTGAAGTCTTTTGAATTCGGTTCCTTTTATTTCCATTCATATTACTTCTTATATTTAGATTCCCTAACGTTTTAGTTCTTTTTTATTTTCAGTTCGTCTACTATTTTTGCTATATATACTCTTAAACAAACTTTATAGTTCTACAGGTCAATTATACGAAGAGTTCTTTTTTTGCAATATACTAAAAAATACCATGATCACGTGAGAGGTTCCTATCAAAACTCGAAGGTAAAGATTTTCAAACTATGAGAATGATATTTACTAGTAAGTTCCAAATTCATTTGTAAAGGTGAATATTTTATTGGTTTGATTATATTTGGAATTGAATTTTATAAAGATTTGCATCGTGGAAAATGTTGCAAATCATTCACGGTTACTCCTTTCCCTGGTTCAGACAACCACCATTGGCTTACAAGTTTACTGTACCCTAAAAGCTCATCAACGCTTAGTCGATATCAATCAATATCACGAAATGAACCAACAGCATTGTTACAGACAGTAGATATCACATCTTGGTTATGATCGCGTCAATATCAATCATCCATCATCTATTGTTCCAATATGTTTTTTTTTTTGTTTGTTTGTTTGTTTTACATTCCGTAAAGATTCGCACCCACACATTCAAAGATCAAACTTAATCTTTAGGCCTCATCAAAAAATCATCAATAATGCAATACAAATCACCTTTTTAGTATCCACAATCAATTCCCCTTTCCAATAAGTCTCGCGTAAAAAATACCCAAAGCCAACATAACGATTACAATAATGTAAACGCCAACCACGGTACTTTTCCACTAATGTAAATACTGAGCTAAAACAAAACAGAAGATTATCTTTTCATTTCACTATCTGCCTATTTCAGATTCCTATATAAAGACTCAAGAATATTCTTCTAATTTTTTTTTCAATTATATTTGTTTTTTTTCTTGGTTCATCGATCATTCAATCATCATCGACATCATCAATATGAAATTTCAAGTTGTTACTGCTATTGCTTTTGCTGCTTCCATGGCTGTTGCTGCTCCATTAGAACAAAAACCAATGTTGGCTGCTACTAAAACCAAACGTGCTGGTAGTACTGGTGCTGAATTACAACACGAAAACCAAGCTACTGCTGGTTTATTTGGTAACGGTAACACTTATGGTAATGCTGGTATTGGTGGTTTCATCGATGCTACTATTGACTCCATTACTAAAGCTATCAGTAGTCCAGTTAGAGGTATCTTAGCTGGTGGTGGTATTTTGGGTGGTAACTAAGTTTAGTCATCTATGTGTAGTGTATCTTCTTCTCCCCCCCCCCCCGGCTGCTATGAATATAAAGTTTGATTGTATATACATAGTTGTATATCATTGGCGTTTTAAAATAAATGATTGTTTTTCTTAAAACTGTTAAAGATTGCACTTTTAGCATAGTGATCGTTGAGTCGTTTCTTGGCATAAGTGGGTACTTGTGTACATACGAATAGTTTAGTAAAATTGATTTTTAGCTATGAATTTATACGAATTTTGAGGGAAAATTTCGGATTTGCACCCGTAACTCTTTTTCATTTATAAAAACTATTTATGCATAAATTTGTCATTTTCCAAACAATTGAACATTTGTTAGTAAGAACAAATTGTATAGAGTATTCAGCATTACAAGTTTGCAACAGGTTCCAGTTTCGTTCATACGTTACTAAGATGCTTCTAACTGACAATCGCAATAGCAAACATTTTTTCGTGTACTCTGGCCTAAAAAGTTTTGCTTTTTGTAACCATGTCAAAATTGCCAGACAGCCAATCACAATAAGCCAGGATTCATCAGCTTAAATAGAACCAATAGTAACCAAATTCTGATATAAAATACAGATATTGGTCAGTTTTACACTTCTCAAAAGAGTATTGTTAATTTCGGTTAGAAACATATGGGAACTAAACGGACAATAATTCGCGTCACGGGAACAGAAATCACATGTTGCCAACTCATGTTTGATTATCACGTGAAACACTATATACGTAATTCTACTATATGAGTTTCTATGTTTTATAACACTATATTTCAGACTTATTTGCAATAAACCTTGATTTTCCATACAGAAACCAACAAATTATTACTGCTAAAATAGCTCCTCCATAAACTGCAGATACATAGTTCATGTTGGTACTTGTAACTGGTCTCACATAAGGAAAGGAAAGAAAAACCAAGCAAAATAAAGTCCACAAGATTGTCAAAATATTGGCAATATAACCAAGTTTGCCACACCAGAATGGACCATGAGCAAAACCTTTGTTTCGTACTCTCAAAAGAAGTAGAGCAGGGATAGAATAAGATAACAATAAAAGACATATACATCCAGTGATAATGGCATTGAAAGCTGTGGTAGAACCCATATAAATACATCCAATGGCAGCAACTAAAAAGGTTGAAAAGAAATGAGCATTCACTGGAAGTTTAGTACGAGGATGGATTTGTTTTAAGTATTTAGACCCAGGAAGTGCTTCTGATCCGGCCATTGTCCAACAAACCCTTGCCTGCCAGGCATGGGCTGAAATATTACAAATGATCCCAGTTAGAATAGTAAGAACTTCAAGGAATATAGCAGCACCTTTATTCCTAGTTGACTGATAGAAAATGGTTAAAAGGGGTAATGTAGACTCGACAACCTCGGAAATATCAGTGGCACAGAAAAAAATAGCCACAGAATAAGCAAATGCTGTAAGGAAACCCAAAACAACTGTACATATAACAGCACGAGGAATAAGCACTTTACCTGCTTTTACTCCCAAATCATCTACCATATGTACTGCTGAGTCTAAACCAGCAAAACACCAAATAGGACTAATCAAACCAATTATAAAAGATAGTGGCTTGTTGTTCCATCCTGTGATATTGGTGTAATCACTAAATACAAAATTCCCCAGATTATATTTTCCTGAAGAACATGCAAGGCAAGTTATCATAGTTACCACAAATCCAAGAAGTGAAATCCAAAGACCCGATGCAAAGATATGAGGCAAGTACCTACCCCAAATATTGAAAACTGAAAGTGCCAAGTTTATAGCTTCAAAAGTAACAAATGAGTGCCATCTTTTTATTTCAAAAGATGGATTGTTAAGAACATACAGAGAAAGAATTGAATTTGCAAGGGAGGAACTTACTGATGCACAGGTGAAAACACATCCAAAGTAACTGAACAATGCAGTTATAAATGCAAGCACTTTCCTGTAACGTTCAGGTGCCAATTGAAGAGTCCAATAATACTGACCAGCTGGGTTTGTATAAGCGGAAATCAATTCTCCCAAGGTGATAGCAACACATAAACTAAAGAAACCTGCAATCATCAAACCATAAATGATAATGATTGCACCACCTGAACCAATACTAGTCCCAAAAGAAGCTGAGACTCCTACCCATGAACAGGTCAATGAAAAACTAGCAGCAAAAAGTGACCACCACCCAAAATTCTTTTCTAATGATGGTTTAGATTGAGACTCTTTACTGTCTATGCTTTGTTCTAAACTTGCAATAGAATTGATTTTATCATCCCCATTGGTATTCATTTTCAATTCAGTAAATTAATGATAGGAAAATTGAAAGAAAAGAAAATAAAATTGAAAGAATTACCAAAAAAAAAAGTAGCTTACTCAAGGTGGTTTATATAAGCTTTGGATCCATGCATTAATTAATGGGCTCAGTTGGTGCAATACCCAGTTGCAAAATTCAACAAAATTTTTTTCTCACTTACTCAATATGACTACGAGTCATTGCGTATACAATGAGAAAAAAAAAATTGTTAAACGAGTCACCTGTGCATGATTCAATTTATTATTTCTATAGAATCTAAACTAGGTACGTATTTCAAGAGGCTAACAATGTCATTTGGCTTTGAATGAGGGATATTGGCAATAATCTTAATTCCTTTGGAAAACTTTTCGATTGCTTCAGCGTTATCTTTGTTGATTGGACCATTCATGACTACAAATACTTTATTTATGCCACGATTCTTTAAATGTTCCAAACTCAACAAAGTGTGATTGATGGTTCCCAAACCACTACGAGCAACTAAAATAACTGGAATATCAAGGTGCAAAATCAAATCTGTAGTAATCTCTGTTTCATTGATTGGAACAAATAACCCTCCTGCACCTTCGATGATCAATGGCTTTGAGCTATTCAAGTACTTTGGCGGAATCTTGATTTCACTAACTTCTATTTGTGGTTTATTTTCTTTCAAGGCTGCCCTCCATGGCGATAAAGGAATATCGAGTTCCACTTGAGGTCTTTCAAATCGATCTTCTGGGAAATTAGTCAATTGTTTCACAGTCTCAGTATCTCCTTGACACGATTCCAATCCTGTTTGAATGGGCTTCCAATAATTAGCATCCCAAGCCTTTGTCAACAACGCAGATACGAATGTCTTTCCAACATCAGTATCTGTACCTGTGATAAATACTGCTTTCATTTTTAGGTCTCAAAGTAGGTAAAACAAGTACACCAAAAATAATATTCAATAAAAGTTGTGATAAATTTATTCTATTTCTTTTCAAGATTTTGTTGAGAAATATTATTTATCTGTGTAAGTAATTTACTCTAAATCATCGTGGCGTTTGTCTTTTATATCACCGAATTTGAGTCTGCTCTAAACAAAACAAATATAAGCAACACAAAATACATCTTTTTCTATAGACCACTGAGCGAATTTTTCATCGGTTTAACTTTTAGACCCTGACTCGTAGTCACCGTGCGACAATTGTTGGGTATTGTCGAAGCAAAATAATAATAAAAAAAAGTTACATATAAATTCCTTCAATTGCAAAAAAAAAAAAATACAACCTTTCAAAAATATTTTAACCAAATTCAAAAATGAGTCTGATAATTCTAAATGACAAGGACTTTGACAAGAAACATATTTGGCATCCATATTCGTCTATGACGAAGCCACTTCCATGCTACCACGTAAAGTCAGCTTCTGGTGTTCGTTTACACCTTGACTCTGGTGAGTCATTGATTGATGGAATGTCTTCATGGTGGTGTGCAATTCATGGATACAATAACAAAGATTTAAATGATGCTTTGGTAAAGCAAATAAACATCATGTCACATGTGATGTTTGGAGGTATAACACATGATCTGGCAATTCAATTGTGCAGATACTTAGTTGAATTGACAAATCCCAAATTAGAGTGCGTCTTTTTATGTGATAGTGGGTCGGTATCTGTTGAAGTAGCGTTGAAACAGGCCATTCAGTACTGGGATTCCAAAGGACAACCTGAAAAGAAGAAGTTCTTAACTATCAAGAGAGGTTATCATGGTGATACATTTGGACCAATGTTTGTCAGTGACCCAGAGAATTCAATGCATACCATTTACACCAGTTATGGTCCAGATAATATATTTGCAGAGGCACCAAAAATAAGGTTTGATGAAGAATGGGATGATACTGATATTGAAGATTTCGAGAAAAAAATACAGCAAAATCATAAGATCATTGCAGCTGTTATCTTGGAACCTATACTTCAGGGGGCAGGAGGAATGCGTATGTACCACCCAGAGTATTTGAAAAGAGTTCGTGAACTTTGTGATAAGTATGATGTTTTGCTTATATTAGACGAGATAGCCACTGGCTTTGGAAGAACTGGCAAACTATTTGCTCAGGAACATGCTGGCATCTGCCCAGATATCATGTGTGTTGGAAAAGCTATAACTGGAGGGTATATGACTTTGGCTGCTGTTATTTCAACAAGAAATGTAGCAGATGTCATTAGCGGTGGCCGAACCGGTTGCTTCATGCATGGACCGACATTTATGGGTAATCCAGCTGCTTGTGCTGTAAGTGTTCGTAACTTGGAGATTATCAAAACCGGTGTCTGGAAATCTCAAGTCGATAACATTCAAAAGATATTACAAAAGAAATTCAAACCGTTGATGAAATCAGGTCACAAAAAGATCAAAGAAATTCGTGTACTTGGTGCTGTGGGAGTGATTGAAATGAATAACCCAATTGATGTTGCATTATATCAAAAAAGGTTTGTCGAATTAGGTGTTTGGGTTCGTCCTTTTGGGAAATTGTTGTATATAATGCCACCATATATCATTAGTGAAGAGGATTTAAATCAACTTGTTGATTCTTTGATAAGTGTTGCCACAGATGAATCTCTCCCTTAGAGAATAGTACATTATCACAAGTTGTATGTAATAAGGAGTTTTGGAGGAAAACAATAGAAAACTTATCCCATGGATTTTTTTAATAAACATCACTTGTATTTATCACCATCTTACATAACCAAGTCCACTCTTTTCATAACTCACAATGTGTCTATATCTTTTTGTTCTTTAAGTTTGCAGCAACATATTTGGCTCGGCCGATAGGATTTTGTTTTTACGCTTCTGTGTGCCGTTGTGTTCAGCGAACAAACAAATTGAATTGAAAATCAGCTCATAATTTTTTTCTGTTTCTTTCAGTCTCTTGTTCTTTCCTTCGCCCCACGAATTTCAGATGGATTCAACATTCCAGAATACAGATTTCTGGTGATTTGCAATTAGTAAGCTAGTCATCCTTATTGAATGCATCGAATGATCCATCATTAATCAATACAATTAAATGCACCCCACTCTTGTAAAATTGTAATCCCTGTTATGGGATTCTCCAAACCGGCCACGAATCAACAAGCCATAACCCAGAAGGAAAGAAAGAGAACAATGGAAAAAGAAAACTTCGTAACTTAAATATTTCGTAAATTATATAAGGAAGACCATTAAGTTATTAGTGATGCAATTTTAAACATACTACAGTCGTCAATTTTTTTAGTGCAAAACGCAGGTATAGTATGATTTGTTCTTTGAATTTACCAAGATAAAGTAATGATAATTAAAAAAAAGCCACTTCATCCCCCCCTCCTCCTCATCATGTTCTAACCAACAGGAATATTCATTCAACAAAAACCATCAGCCGATTTTTTTTTTGTTTCTTCGCAACCAAACGTTTTTGTATTTTGCCTTATCACCAGAAAGTACAAAAGAGGACACATACAAAATATGCATAGAATATTACTAAACTGGCTACGTCAGAAATAAGCTCAGTTTGTTCTAGAATACTATGTAGATGTACAGTAATATTATTTTTCATTTGAGTCGAACTCATCGCCAATCATTATAGGGTTCGTTCATTCTTGTTACTTTTTAAGCCGGAGGTCAACCGTCAACAATATACGACGAGTACCAACACATTGAGCTGATTCCTTACAAGTCTTCCCAATTGGTGCTAGAATAAAGTCATTGAATTTGTCAAATAACTAAATACGTGTTATCAATGTTAGTTTAACAGGGTAGCTATTTACTATTTTATTTTTTTTTTTTTTTGTTCTCATGCATAAGCGTTTGAATTCCAGGGCAAATTTATCAGCTGATGATTTTTCAGCAATGACAATTTGAATTTTGGACCCCTATTCACCGGAATGGCCTTGATAATGAAATATATAGAGGAATGATTCACTGAATGTTTCCAAAATAAAATCTTTATAGTATGAGGGGGGAAATATTCATCCAGTTTAATTGAAACAAATAATCTTTTAACCTACATTTGCAACAATTTTCTATTGATCATGTCGAGATATTTTGAAACAAAGCCATTAACTGCTAGACAAATTGAAATAATCCACCAATCCATTCCTATTCTCGAGCTGCTTGATATTCGATTAGGTGAAAAGTTTTATAAAAGAGTAGTTAGAAGATATGATAACCTTAAACCGTATTTCAATGAAACAAATACTAAATTATTACGACAACCTCGTGCATTTGCGTATACAATTTTAATGTATGCTAAATATATTGAAGATTTGAGTCCACTACAAGAACTACTAAACAGAATCATATCAAGACATATTGGATTGCAAGTTAAACCAGAACAATATCCTTTACTTGGAGAAGTTTTCATAGAAACAATGGCTGATTTATTCCCACCAGGAGTTGCTGATGATGAATTTAAAGAAGCTTGGGCAACAGCTTATGGTAATTTATCCAATATGTTGATTGAAGCTGAAAGAGTTGAATATGCAAAGAAAGCTTGGGATGGTTTCAAAGAATTTAGAGTTACTAAATTCAACGTTGAGTGTTGTGATACAAAATCAATTTTTATTACACCAATTGATGGTAAACCTATTCCTAAACCAAGAAGAGGTCAATATTTATGTATGAGATGGCATCTTCCCAATGAAAAATTAGAAAAAACAAGAATATATTCAATTTCGGAATTTCCAAAGGAGAACGAGTATAGATTAACTGTTAGACATATTCCGGGGGGACAAGTTTCTGGATATATTCATAATCAATTACAAGTTGGCGATGTGGTTTATGCTGGGCCACCATGTGGTGATTGTTGTTATGAAAGTCGCAAAAGTGATATGGTAGTATTAGCTGGTGGTAATGGAATTGCAGCATTGATGCCAGTTATAGAAGCAGGTTTACAAGAATGCAGAAATGTGAAACTATTATTTTCAAATCGTTCTACTGATTCAAGATCATTTGGTGAATTATTAAGAACATACAAGAAAACATATGGTGATAGATTTGAGGTTGTGGAATTTTTATCTCGTGGTAGAGCAGTTGATCCAGTTGGTCAATATTATAGAAGATCATTGACTTTGGAAGATTTAGATTTCATCACTGCTGAACACGATGTGTATCTCATTGGTCCAAGAAGTTATATGATTATGATTGATGATTATTTATCACGAAGAAATATTCCATTCAAAATGGACTACTATGGTCCAACGGAACTTAATTACCGGTTGGAGTAGAGGTCCTAGTTTACAACAAAATTAACATAATTTTGTAGTCTTTATTGATTAGAACTAACTATTTACATGAATTAAAAATATCTACACGTCTATGTAGTATCTCTTACCTCTGATACCGAACAATTGATTGTTCAATTGTAATGGATTTGTTGGATCGGTATTCATGAGATCGTATTTTGTACAAGAAAATGGATTTTCACACTCGTGCATCAAGATATCAAGGTCTTCAGAGAATTTCTCAGTAACCCATTTGTAATTCTTTGTAGAGTCTTCTTTATTATATCCAGTAATGAAAATAGGACACTTGGTTTCTAATAAAGTGGCAATGGTCTTTTCCCAATGGATGGAATCTACTGAGTTGAAGTTTGGATGGAACAAGAAGAAACAGTCCAAGTATGGATCAAATGGATATAAATCACCCATGGCAAATACATCTTCCCAATACATGGTTTGTTTATGTACAGAAATTTGTGGATCAAATCTTTCAACCAAAGCTCTACCATTGGAGTTGTCAATCTTGCTGAATTTCATAGTCTTTCTATCATAGTGTGCTTCTGGTCCAATGAGGTGAATTTCAAATTCTGTATTTGGGAATAAGTAACCCATTTGCTTCCAAACATATCCTGGAAGTAATGATTCCATCTTTGGACCAATGATGAATAATCTCATTGGTCTTTCTTTATAAATAGTTTCATCATCTTCTTCAGATGAATTGTTGGCAGTACCAGAGCTCTTACCGAGTTGTGGTGGATACAAAGAATATTTCAAAGCACCCAATGATTTGGCACCTTCAAGAGTTAAAGGTCCCTTTGGTTCCAAAAGAAATGGAGTATGTTTGAATAAAAGTGATGAAATTGTGGTTGGATAAGTCATGACTTTTGTAGCTGCTGCCAAATTGAATTCATCATTCATTGGTGGGAAATCTCTGGTATAGAAAAAGGAATCCCAGTTACTTAAATTTACCAAGAAATCTCTTTCTTGTGCTTTTGGGAATACAAATTCAGTGAATTGTCTACCAGATCTTAAATCATGTTCATAAAGATTAACTTTTTTTAATTTTTCATATTTCTTCAATTCATGATACTCTTTATCTTGTTCCCAAGCTTCTTTAGAATGATGTGTTGGGATACCCGAATATGGACAAACAAAATTGACTGGTTTATGAGTAACTGGACATAACGCCTTGGCTCTAATTAATGCAGCTCTTTCACGTATGTCTTCATATGGAGACTCATCCCAGTTATATACTGGACGTTCTTTTTCCTTATTCTTGGAATCATCCATACCCAACACCTTCCAAAATAATGACATATTTCTTGTGGCTGAAGCGGTAATGGATGACTTGGCAGTAATCCTTGGTAGAATGTGACTGGTCGATATCATTAATGCTATACGATGTTGATGTTGTCTCCTGAACTGGATTTCGATAAACTATTGATTAATAAGTGAATGGACAAATATTATATTGGACAACTGAAGAGATCAAATTAAGCCAATTTCTGTCTTTATTAATGGGAACAGATGATATCAAACAAAAAAGATAATGGTTTGCAAACACAGACACACCGGAACACGGGTTTATTATTGTTCTAAGAAAATTTTTCTTTTGTTTGGTGATCTTTTTTCTTTTCTTTTAACATTTTCCATTGCTAACTTGAACAAAGCGAGGAGGTGCATATATTTTCAAAGTCCATTAAATTTATTAAGGGACTGCACATAACCCCAAAGACAAATTCCTTAAAACGGTGATACTAACAAACTATTACAGATGAACTTACAGTAGAGGTTAAATATTTCAGTTCATAATCATCTATTAATAATATTTACAGGAAATGATGGTGGTATCACCTCCAATTAGGCAAATATTTGTGTACATACTATGTCCATCACATGCTCTCTTTCAACATTCAATTTGCAAAGATTCGGGATATTGATTACCATATCATATTGACATGTTTTGATTTCTCTGATTTCCAATATCTCAATTTTGGTATTACTTAAATCACAGACATATTTGATGGATAATTTTCTAGGTTGTCCAGTAAGATCACAAATTTCACCTTCTAGTTTATGACTATATCCTTCATTGACGGAAAATTCTCGTGTATCAAGTTTAAGTTTAGGTTCGTAAATAGCCTGATTAGATATTTTGGTAACTTTCAGATTAAATCGTTCACTTCCTGGAAATCTTCCCAAGACATATACATGATTTGGGTGATTTGGTTTATGGCTAGCTTTCAAGAAATCATCCAAATCTTCATGAAATTGCATGATTTTATCACCATAACAATATCCAATAGTCCAATAATTACCAAGTATTCCAAATGCATATAAACATTTATCTTGGTCAAAAGATTCAGCAATCAATTCAACTGCTTGTTCTTTCAAATCATGCAAAGTTGTTCTAGGTTCATTTGAATCCAAGGAAAATTGATCTTGTCCTGGTAAGTTGCATAAATATGATGTTATATTGTTATTATCTTGATTACCAATTGATAAGATTTCAAAATGGTCCTTATCTGAATCCCATATTTCGAGAGCCACGTCACGAGTTAGATTACTTTCATGGAACACGATTCTATTCTTAGGTCTTTCGGTTTCTGCTGCCGTGACAAAGGATTTTTGGAAGTTGAAAAATGAAATTGTTAATATTAGTAATGTTGTCCAATTCATATCATGTGGTGTGAGTTAAAGTAGCAATCGTAGTAATAATCCACACAGAGATTATCATTGGTATCCCAAGTGTGTATGAATTTTTTCTCCAATCCCCCCCCCCCCCCCCCCCCGTTTGTTGATAGAACAGGAATTAAATTTCGCACGACCCAGAAAGACTTTTAGCATCTGAATTCACCCATAACAATGCATATATTATTCCAATTCCTATTCATAGCTGGTTGATTATTAATACCAGTCAATATAAATAAACTGTGTTTCCGGTATGCACTATGTTGTGTATTCAAATTTTTGCTCAAAGATAAGTAAATTCTTTGGTTGGGTAGTCCCAAATGGATTTTATTATTTTTCATTTGACAATAGGCTATTACTGGAAGAAATGGATTAAGCAAAACAACGGTGGAGTACCTTGCTACTTATTGTTGTAAAGACCCTAGCAAATTTTGAGTTATCACACACTTCAAATGTAGTTGTGATATTTTAGACGTTTCGACCTTATTAAGGAGCTACCGAATTAAAGGGTTTTCTCACGAATTAAATAATTCCATAGTATCATAGTGAACCAATCAACATCTTCACATTAATAAATTGGTATTAAAGCAATAGTGACTCAAAAGGGACCAATTTCGTTGGAATTATCAATTTCCTTAAGGCGGTTATACCAACAATAGAATCCTGAGTTGTAATTATAACAAGAATGAAAAAAAAAATATCACAAATCTCAATACACACACACACTAAAAACACACACACACATACACACACCATGTTCCAAAAATAATCCACATTATAGACACTTTTCCTAGAAACCAAACAGAATAAAAGGCAGTGTAATTTCCCCTACCATCAGAGATTTTTCTTCTTTTGAGTTGTTCATCAACACATTCGCTTTTGCTCATAGACAATGAAATTCTCCACAACTATTTCTTGCGCTATTTTGTTTGCAGCCACTGTTTCTGCTGGTTTGATTGATACCGTCACCACAACCCAAAAAACAATTGTTACTATCACTGATACCGATTGTGAAACCAAGGGTACTGATTGTCCAAAACATAAAACCAAGCCAATCTCTACTACTCCTGTAACTACTCCAGTCACTACTCCTGCAACTACTCCTGTAACTACTCCAGTCACTACTCCTGCAACTACTTCTGCAACTACTCCAGTTACTACTCCAGTTACTACTCCAGTTACTACTCCAGTTACTACTCCAGTTACTACTCCTGCAACTACTCCAGTTACTACTCCTGCTACCACAATCACGGATGAAATTATTTCAATTCCCCATGTCAGTCAAGAAACTGACGAAGGTCCAGGTTTCACCATCTTGCCATTAGGTGGTGGTAATGGTAACTCCTCCATTGCAACTGGTAGAACTCCTCCAGTTGTCACTTTTGTCGGTGCTGGCTCTTCCAATAAGAATGTTCATACTGGTGCATTTGCTTTAGCTGTTGGTGGTGCTATTGCTTTGTTGATGTAAATCCAACAGAACGATATTTTACATCATTTCATACTACGTTGCTTTTCAAATTCTTCGACTTTCTTTTTTATTACTTTATTATTTGTTTTTCCATAGAGATTCAATATAAACACATTTCCGAGCGGATTTATGAAATTTAAATCCAAACGCGCACGTAAGAAATAGAAAATAAAAAGTTAATCAATGGATTCAATATTTCATTTCTCTCCTTACATTATGAGATTAACTGATGAAAGTAAAGCATTCTATTTTGGAGTATATTCTGTAGTACGACAAATTCCATATGGATATGTTACAAATTATGGTATGTAATTACTAAACAAAGAATCACTTATCTTGTTTTATTTTGATTACTAACAATTTTATTGAAAGGACATATTGCTTTATTATTGGACAAACCTGAAAATTCAAGACAAGTAGGTAATGCATTAAAAAAAGAATCATACATTATTCCAAAATTAAATGAAAACTTGTCAAAAGATCACCCCGATTATATTGATCTTGATACATTACCTTGGTGGAGAGTAATACTGAAAAGTGGTAAAATTTCCCCACGAGAAGCAAATGGACAGTTTGAACAAGCTGAATTATTACGTCGTGAGAATGTCCAGGTACTGGAAGGACTTTTTGTAGATTTAGAACAATATGGATGGTTTCCAGATCAAGTTGATTATTAAAGAGTGAAATATATAATTGATAAAGTCTTTATTATAATTCATAAATATATACATATACGATACAGAGGTGCATGAGGATTACACTGTTCGTGCATTCATTTTGTTGCCATTGGTTTTTTTTCGAGATGGAGGTTTTTTATTCCTTCCTGATGTTTTCATCTCCTTTTGAACTCGTTTGGACTCTTCTTCCCACCATTTGGCAAATGATTCTTGCATCATTACATCGGCTAATGATGGTGTTGGAGAAGTTGAAGTAGGCGCTGAAATTGGTGATATTGTTTTCTTTTCAGGTGGGGAGTGTTTTGGAATAGATCGGGATGATCCAAGAACAGGTAAATCTTTAATTTTCAGATTGATAGATGGTGAAACCTTGGAGCTTTGGAGGGACCATGGAGAAGCCTTAGAAGAATCTTTAGAATTCATAGTACTTGTATTATTTTCAGCAGCAGCAGCAGCAGCAGAAGCAGCGGCCAAACGTTTACGCTCCTTTTGAGATACTTTGGCAACTGGACCAATTTTCATTTTTTGTACTTTTGGTTTTGACAATGTGGGTTGCACCTCGAATGTAACATTACCTGTCGGTGTTGATGATCTCGTGGAAGCTTCTGATTCCAAAACTGCCGATTTAGTTGCCCAGTTGGAAAATGGACTAAGACCAGCAGTTGCAACATCACCAGTGTGACCAACTGAAGTATGACTTTTTGTAAGTGTTTCTGATTTAGTGTTGGATAAAATTGGTTCTGAATTTGGTGGTGGGGATTTCTGTTTTGATTTTTTACCAACAACAGTAAAACCATCATGATCATCAATAACTTCTTGAATCAAAGCTTCTTCAACCCTTTCTTTGATTAAACCTTGTCTAAAGTCAACGATATCATTCTTGATAGTGGAACTCTTTCTTGATCTACGCTTCTTGACCACAGCCTTTGGTTTCAATATTTCAGAATAGATATTATCAATCAATGGTTCAAATGATGAAAATCCCTTTCGATCACTCATAAAATGTTCATTGTAGGTATTAGATTCATGGATAAATTCAGCTACCAAATCAGAACTAGATTCAAAGAAACAATCATTATATGGTTTGTGGTCAACCAATTTGCAATTGCTTAAATATTGAAATTCAGTCTCAACTTTATTCAAGATGTCCAGTGGCATGCCAGTGAAACCAGAATCAAATATCAAAACTTCTAAATTGTTATACATGTACCAACAACAGTTTTTGAAAATCATGTCGCAAGACAAATACTGTGAATGAATTGTAAGAGGAACAACATTTTCTAAACTTATCAATTCACAAATAGCAACGGAAAGTGAACACTTGAGCAGGAATAATAAAAGTTCGTCACAAATTTCAATAAGTTGTAGAACCTCATCAATGAAAACATCTCGATCTGTGGTTTTACCAATGAAATAATCCAAAAGGTTCTCATTACTTATACCATACAAGTGTCTTAATATAATGGTCATTTGAAACTTGGACAATCCAGTGAAATCGAGTTCCTTATCTTGTTGTATATCATCCCATCTCTCAGAAAACATGGTTTCAAAAAACGCCGATCTGGACTTTAGTATATAGGAATAAGCACGAAGATTACCATCGTTTAATTTTAAAACCACATCACCTTCCGATTTCAAAAGTAGTTCTCCAAATGCTTCAACCACTGAATCCTTACTATGGCTGATATCAAACAAATTGCAAAGCGAATTATATTGGTCATTAACCAACTTCATACGTTCTTGAAGTTTATGACGTGAACCGTAATGATGTGCAATATCAAGTTTAATACCCGTGTAGACGCTGTGGAGGACCAACAATACAGAAAACAGTTGAATCTCTGTAAGAACATTTATAGTTGATTTTTCTGGTACCCATACAGCTTTAAAATTGTCGGCAATTAATACCTCATTCACATCATTGAGATCGAATAGTTTTTGGAATACGGGTGAGCGTGAAGCAAGTATTTGCTTGTGAAAACCAAATCTAATATCTGGAATCATCTCAAACTCAACAAAAGCGTTATATCCTTTGTCACTGACATTTACATTATCTTTCAGGAATGTGAGTGTCAATGGAATCTTCACCAAAACCTATAAAAAAAAAGAGTGGAAAGATTTAAAAAAGAAAAAGACAGATCTATAAAGATAAATGAGTGGGGGAATCGGTTTATTCTTTGTATAATCATACTTGTTATGGTAATTTTCATCAAGTGAATCAACAACACGTTCCTTAGACGTTGTATGCGTTTGAAATACAACACCGTCTTCATCATCATCATCATCAACGTCAACGTCATGCTGGCTTTTTGGATAGATGAAATTTGTCATATATGTATCCAATTTACAGTCAAAATTCAATAATTCCAGTTGCTTTCTATCAGGAACATAATCAATAATTGGCGATAGGTTTTCAATATCCGTAAAGAAATCATTTTTAGGAACCTTCAATGGCAATATATCAATGTCATCTCGAATGAAACCAAAGGACAGGAAATCAAATGTAGATACTTTAACTACCTTGTTTAAGTTTTCAATCTTCTTGAATTTGTTCTTGGTGGTAGCTATTGGAAGCGTGGTGGCACTCATCGAGTTCTTTCTTTGTTTTGAAACAGCCGATTTTATATAAACAGAACCATTTCTGGTACACAAGACAACTGAACCATCCTCTGACATGTCAATATCAAGAGCTACCATATCACGATCATAAGCCTTCCAAACAGAAGTATATTTCGTGCTTTTGATATCCGTCATATTTAAGGAGAAACTCAACACAGAACCATTACTTAACAAAATCATGGAATGATCTGGACCACTTGTGACAATTTTCTTAATCACGGCTGCTTCTGTGATTCGTCTGGGCTTAAATAAATCAAAATGTTTGTCATTATATCCCTTGATTGGTATCTTGGGTAGTTTCAAATGTTTATGATTCACAAACGCGTGGATTTCATTTATGCTAGTGACAACATAAGTTAATATAGTAGTTGTGGTTACACATTTAATATCATCTCTTAATGAAACCATTTTAGGAGATGCTTGAATTTCTCCCTTAAGTGCTTGATCGTGCAATTTGACTTCGATATCACCATGGGTACATGCAATACCCATCTGTCCAACATTTAATCCCCAAAAATACAATGCATTTCTTGACCAAACTACAGAATGAATTTTCGATACTTTCACTCCTAGTAAATTACTACCAACGTTTCTAAGTTCACCGGACACTAGTGTTGGTGTTGCCAAAAAGTTGTCCAAATAATGTGTGATTTTTTTCTTCTTGGAAACAGCGCTATTAGGTACTCCCAATTGATTGAAACTGTTTAAACCCCAAGCATAGACTTGATTATGTGATGTTAACACCACTGAATGATTGTTTGAGATTGCTGCATCTTTAATAAACATATCATTAAAAAACAGTATCCTCTGAAATTTAAAATAATCATTCAAATCTTCTATTCCATGTCCCAATCTTCCTCTTGCACCAATACCACAAGAAAATACTTCACCATCTTTGGTAACCACTAATGAATGATTCTTGGAGATTACAATTTGTTTATATCGAGGTTGTTGTAAAACTTCACTAATAGAATCAAGATCTTCTTGAACTTGCTTGAAACTTGAATGGGACAACATAGTTGGAGTAACTCTATCCGTTGAATCACCAACACCCAACTGATTATTACTATTACGTCCCAACACATATACTTCTGACCCTCCTCTTTTTTCATTCCATTCTATTTTCGATGATTTTAAAAATGGTTTCCTCTGTTCTGTGTTAACATGCGTGTCCTTGTCAACTACACCATCTTCTTGAATCAATGACTCGTATCTATATTTTAAATTAAATCCAATTTCCTCATCGATATACTCCGGAATCCATAGGAGATCTTTAAAATCATTATCCAATAAGTGCAAGGGAGTATTCCCACATCTATCTTTACATCTCAACAACTCCATTAATGGAGAACTTGGATGGAAAAGATTATTTTGAATTGAAATCCTTTGTAAATACTCCACTAATACTTTAAGGCACTTTATCTTTTTGTAATAAATAATATAGTGTAGACAATTCCAACCATTTTCAAAATCAGTCAATTGTAAAATTGATTGAAAATCTGTATTTCTAGTTAATACTCGTAATGACTCAATATCACTCAGTAATATAATAATATGTAAGATTGTTCTTCCAAAAACATCTCTTTTTAACAAGCTATCTTTCTTTAATTTATTTAGTTTTGGGACATTGGTACAATTCATAATGGGGTGGTATACTCTAGTATTCTAATACATCAGGTTTTAAAAAAAAGGAAAGAAAATATAGTAAGATTTGAACAAGCAAGTATCGGTAATTAGTTTCCAGATCAACAAGAATGTGGAAAAACGACTAGTTTTGAAGTTATAATTGATTAATTTACGAAAGGTTAAATCTTATATGAGAGACTGTTTTTTTTTTATTTTTTGATTTGGGTTTTCCCAGTGGAGAGATGCGTTGCTTGCGGACTGGAAAATAATACGTTTAACTAACAACGTGGTTGGTTCCATTTGAGCAAGCAGAATGTAAGCAATACACGTACACACTAAATTAACATAATATATGTGATAATTTTTGCCATGTCCATTATGGTCTTAGCTAAATATATTACATCAAATGCTTACTATTCAGTAATGACATAGAGCATGCTTTCATTATGTTTCCATAGGTGGTAATTATACTTCACATTTATGCACGACCATAGGTTCCATGAAATTCTTTGAACACATACTTGAGTACAAAGTATATGATCTGGAAAAGTATATTGGAATCACAATTGATAGCAGAACTGTAGTATACTTGAATGGATGTATACGTCTCGTTAGTAGCTTGGTAACAGTTCTGTTTAACATAAACTAGATTACAGTGTTTCTGCTGCTATAGGTATTTGACACAATAATCCACTCTTGATCTCTCAATGGATGAACTTGCTATAATAAACACGTTTCAACTGATACACTCAACCTTACCACGACTACAATACATCATGAGAAGATACCTGTTTGTATTGATGCTAAACAATTTTGTCGCACAAGAAATTCGGATATACGCTTTCGGTAGAAGGAAAAAAAGAGAAAAGAATACAAGTGGCCAAAAAAAAAGAAAAAACATATTCAAAACTGAAAACAACCCACGAATTATACAACCAAACAAGCAATGGCAACACCCACACTGACAGTTAAACGTTTTCATATATTTGTTGAATCGGATCTTATAAATCTTCAAAATGAAAGATGTATGTTTGAGCTTAATGACCAAACTTCTTTGAAAGAATTCAAAGAACGGGTTATTGCTCGTAATGATGAACTTTCAGTGGTTAGAACATATATTGAACAATTAAAAATAGAATATCGTGATGAAGAAATACCAGAATATCCATTGGATAGTGGAATTACTGTATATGAAGCTCTTCATTTAAATGAAGAGATTTTATCTGAAACACATAATGTTGTGAAAATAAAAGTATTTAAACATGCAAATGTAAATGGAACTGGTGGAATATTGAGTCGAGACTTTTGGAGAGATGTAAGATCTGACGGAAGATTGCAGTTTTTACCCCAACAAGATCAACAACAAGAACAAATGGATACACCTGAAGTTACAATTCCTGTAGAAGAATCTGTATCAGAATCTATACAACCACCAGATTTGAGATCGCCAAACATAGCCCACATTGAACCAACCAAAATTGCTGTACATGGTGGTAGAGTATGGGAAATGGAAGGTACTACTTATGAAACCTTAATAGAACCAAATACAGGAGAAAAGAAACTTGTAGCTCAGGAAGACTTGACAAGTTCAGAATACATCTTGACATTGGAACTTGATGGTGTTATTAAAAAAGCTACTTTGAATACCTCAGAATGTATTGTTGTTGATAATGGTATTCATAATCCATATTTGTTGTTAAGCCCACTGGGCACTGCCAAATTAAACTCAGTGTTCAAGCTGTCATCAGGAGAATCGTTGATGCAAAAGGTACAAATAATGATGTATACACCTCCTACTCCCACACAACCACCACCACCGCAACAGCAACAGCAACAGCAACAACAAGAACAAGCAGAGGGTCAAGCACAACAACAAAATGATGATCTTCAAAGAAGAATCGTTGACATTGGTACACGATTTGGTGTCAATGCATTCAAATTAGGTGTAGTTTTGTATCTTCTTGGAGTGAGACCAAATCAACATTTAATGCAACATTGGTTCAAGTATTTGGTGTTATTTATTATATTATTCAATTCCTATGTTATGTTTTTCACGGGTGAAAATAGAGTGATCAGGTTTCATGGAGATTTCTCATTTATTGGTAGAATAACAGATGCTGCAGTTAAACGAGTTGTTCGAAGAACAACAGATCTTGAATTAATAACACTGAATGATCCAAATTGGTTAAAGATGCTTAAATGGAATATGGAGAATATTTTCAAGGATATTGTCATGTCAGTAATGTCAATTGTTCCCTGGTTACTGGATAAAATTTATGTCGAGGCACAAATAGCTGATCATGACACCGAGGAGTATGAGAATATCATTAGTTTACTTGATGCTGATGTCAATGCTAACTCAAATTCTGATATCAACACTAATGCCACTACAAATGCGGATACTAATGAGGTCAACGATAACAATTAGTTCTTTATAGAAGATGTGATTATTTTTTCTGTATATTCTAACAATTTGACATATGTACATTCAGTAAAACCTAAAGAATAACTTCTTGAGGTCCAAAATAATCCAAATGTGGTTTAACATTTCTCAGTTGCAAATAATCATCAATCATTTTCATATAACCTCTAGGTCCAATAAGATAAACATCATGATCCGGAGTGATGAATTCCAAATCTTCAAGTGTTAAAGATCTATTACAATATTCGTCAATGGGGTCGGTATGACGACCACGAGACATATACTCAATAACTTTAAAACAATCTCCATAATTTTTTTTATATTGTTTTAGTAGTTCAGAAAATGATCTTGTTTCAGTAGAACGATTAGAATACATCAATATGACTTTTCTACATTCTTCCAATCCTGCTTCAATAACTGGCATCAATGCAGAAATACCATTTCCACCAGCTAATATAACTAAGTCGGTTTTATTTGATTGATAATAAATACAACCACATGGAGGTCCTGAGTAAACAATATCGCCAACTTGTAATTCATTATGAATATATCCTGAAACTTGACCTCCAGGAATATGTCTAACAGTTAATCTATATTCATTAGCTGTAGGATATTCTGAAATTGAATAAACTCTAGATTTTTCATATTTTGCCCCAGGTAATTTCCATCTCATACATAAATATTGACCTCTTTCAGGTTTAGGTATAGGTTTACCATCAACAGGAGTAATATAAAAAGATTTTGTTTCAAGACATTCAGTTTTAAATCTAGTTACTTTAAATTCTTTAAAACCAAACCAAGATTTTTTAGAATATTCTTTTGCTTCTGCATTAATTAAAAAATTTGCTAGATTTCCATAAACTGTACTCCAAGTTTCAACAAATTCATCATCAACCATTTCTGGAGGGAATAAATCAACCATAGTTTCAAGTAAAACTTCACCTAACATTTGATATTGTTCTGGTTTAACTTGTAATCCAACATGTTTATTAACTATACGTTCAAGAACTTCTTTTAATGGTGATAAATCATGAATATTCTTAGCAAATTGTGTTAATGTATAAATAAATGCACGAGGTTGTCTTAATAATTTATGATGTGTTTCATTGAAATAAGGTTTTAGTTGACTATATCTTTTCATTGTTCTTTTGTAGAATTTTTCACCAAGTTTTATATTTAAATCTTCAAGAACTGGTACACAATCAGTAACGATTTTTATTTGTGCTTGGGTTAGCTCTTTTGATTCATAGAAATCCGTCATGATTAGTCCAAATGTAGTTGATTGCCAAAAAAAAGAGCCAAAAAAATTTGAATGAATAAGTAATAATTTAAGAGATGGATAAATACTTCTACATGTGTGTATAGACGTTTATTTAAATGTGGGTCTTTTCTGTAGTAATTTATATTTCATTCCAAATAAGTTGAAGAATAAGAAGAAGAAAAATCCTAGACCCTTCATTATGCCATCATCACCTGATATTTTGCTTTTGCGGCAACAATACAAAATAAAAAATAAAAAAAAACACCGACAGAGAGAGAGAGAACACCAAGACAGAAAAACGCAAAATTTAACCCGATAGAAGTAATAATCATCATCGTCGTCGTCAAAATGTCTATAAAGAATTTTAGTTTCTCTTTGTTCTAGAAGTATGTCATGAATTATGCGTCGTCTCTTTAAATGTTCAGCCTTATTGAAAATAAGAAAATCCAATGAACCTAATCACTCATGTTGATCCCATTCAAAGTGAAAGCATCCTCTTGATAAACACAGCCATGCAATTTCTCCGAAGACATAAACTTCATAATATCTAAAATGTGGGCCGTTTTTTTTTTTTGTTGTTGTTGTTGTTGTTGTTGTTATTATTGTTGTCTTCCTTACTTGCTGTATTCCATGCAATTTGCGTTGAGTTGTCTTCACTTTTTGTGAACATGCATTACTGGTGGAGAGAGGGTGAGCTGAAGGAACACGCATTAAATTATCATATGAAACCAAATTTTCGCTTAAATATCATCATTAGCATATTATTCCCCCTTCGGAAATAAGTTTAATTAATTGTATAATTTCATTAAAGTGGGATGATTATTAGCAAAAAAAAAAAAAAAAACGAAGAAAGCATTACGTAGCCCTGGTTTATTCTGATTAACTGGTTGTTTCTTGATGATGTGATGAACGATGAGGTTGATGAGATGATACGAAACTAAAATTTCAATCAACAAAAAAAAGGCTTTATTGTTATTATTAATAAGAAAATAGTTAAAGTTTTTCATGAGAAATGTAATTTTAATTGACGTTGTCTTAATGATATGTGGAGTATCCAGTTATTTCACCGTATATACTTCAACAATAGCGGCACTGACATTTCGGTATGTAGAGGGAGCCATGCGGTATGTGCGATTTGATGCGAGTTACACAATATGGGCCGAACTTTATTTCATATTTACGATACGTCTGTTCTGGACTCAAGCATAACGCAACTACGAATGCAAAGGAGGAATTATGACACATATACAGCTCCAAAAGGAGGTTGTATGTATATAATACTACAATGAATCTATACAGGAAATAAGTGTATAAATAATATACCATAAGATACCAATTTTTACTATTGGGTCATGTCATCTAAATTTGCCGATAATGAATCTTCCAATTTACTACTAATATCCAAACTTGTACCTAAACTTTCATCATTAAATTCTTCCATCAATGGTATACTTCCGTCGATATTATCAAAGTCGATACTATCGATTTGCTTGCCAGTTATATCCAACAGCAATGAACTATCTTCTGGAATTTGTGGCAATTCCTCGGGCAAGTCCAGTTTAAATTCGGGAACTGATTGAGCTGACTCCAGAACTTCTACCGGTTTTTCTTGTCCTTCTGTTGTTGTTGTTGTTGTCTCTGTTGTGGTTGAAGATGCCTGTTCTTGTTGTTTCAAGAGCTCTTGTTCTGCTTGTAACTTCTCTTGTTGGGCTTGTAACTTCTCTTGTTCTGCTTTCTTCTCAGCTTCAGCTATTTCTCGTTCTTGCTTAAGTAAATCTTCTTCCTCAGGTAAAAAGAATGAACTAGCAATGATCTTTTTCTTAATAGATGTGATCTTACCAGTAGGCGGCATTTTAGGACGAATATTTCTTTGCTTTTGTGGCAATTCTTCATCTTCAATCAAAATAAACACATTATCAGGAGGCAAATCCATATTCTCTCCCTTTTTCTTTTGCAGTTTAACATAATGAGTTTGTGATCTTTCATATAATTTCTTATAGAAAGGAACCAATAATCCAATTTGTTTTTCAACTTCATTGCCATGGATCTTACCTGGTTCATACTCTTGCAAATCCTCATATTTGTTTCTTTGGGAAGCCCCACCACTGGTTGCATATTGATTATGTAAACGGGAATGCAACAAATATATTGGAATGGATGAAGTAAGCATCTTGAACTCTTTATCCAATCCCAATTCTCTGAACCCAAAGAAATCGTCACCCAATCCATTCGAGAAATCACCTGTGACAAATTGCTCACTGTTATCATCAAAACTCTTTTCATTGAAATTCTCTAACCCTGGTCGAAGTAAATCTTTTAAGAAATTCGACAACTTCACACGTAAATCTTTAAGTTTATCTTGTTGTTTGATGACTCTTTCTTGAATGAAGGTATACAAGTCATCAGGTCTGTCAACACCATTTTCCAACAACGACAACAACAAAATATCTCTACTTGATAATCTGTTCTCGGAAGCTGTCTCACTATGCAATTTCAACGACTTAATCAAGTTACCAAGATATTTTTCAGCCACTTGCGTCAATGTGTTTATAGCTGCTGGTTGGGTAGTTTCAAACCCTGTTTGCATGGCAATTTTTGCAACATTTCTTCTAAGAACTGAAAACTGTACATCGTTGGTATTGGTATCATGATTTGGCAACTTTGACGCATCATCAATATCAACTTCTTTCAAAACTTGAATTTCGGGTTGTTTCATTTGCGTGTGATGAACAAATTGTTGGGTTTGCATCTGACGAATAAGTGAGATCTTAAAACAAATCTTCCTAATCTCCTGGATTTCACAAATATTTTCAAAATAAATTTTATTCAACCCTGTCTGCGTTGACAAAACAAAGTCAGATTTGATCTTAGAAGCATCACCATTGGCTTGTTGTAGGTAAATATCAACCAATTTATTTTCATATCTGTCTTCTTCCTCTCTGTCGACACCTTTATATTCCATACCAGGTACACCACCAGTGATATCATACTCAAGCAAATAAGGTTCATCATTTTCTAACAAGCTTGTTGCCTTTGAAATGACTTCCTTATTGGATAAATACTGATTGAAATTGACCATTTCGTTAGATTGTCTTAAAATAGCAGGGGCTTCTGTTCGAAGATGACCATCGTCATCAAACAAATCTGCACGCTGAGCACAGTAATTTGCTCTTGATTTTGCTGTTAAAATTTTCCATGATTGTAGTTTAGGATCAAATTCCTCTTCATCTTCAGCGATATTATTGCTTGTTGCTGCACCATTCATATTGTCGTTGTCTTCATCTTCTTCTTCTTCTTCGTCGTTTGACACATTACCATTTTCATTTGGTGCTGGAGTAGCATTGTCGATAACAGTACTGGGGAGTGGGGTACCGGCAGCGGAAGGTGTATGTGTTGCCTCCAGTTCTGCCTTGATTTCATCTTGTCTTTGCCTCTTTCTTCCTTTTTTCATGGACTTGCCACCACTTAGTTCTTCCTCTTTTTTGTCATTTTCCACTTCTTCTTCTTTCTCGACATCTGCACGACTTCTAATGGTGATATTTGGAATAGAAGGCACCAACTTGGCCGTTTTCTTTTGCATGGCAATAGCATGAGCTCTGATGAAGTGTTTTGGATCAGCATTGTACGTGAGACAATTGCTCCAAATCAACATCAAATCATCAACAAATTCTTGTTTGGAATTATATGCCAAGTTTTTGAGCTTCTTCAAAACAGTATTCAAATCCATTGGCTTTTTAATAATCAACCCATAGTTTGGAGCTTCTCTTTTGGACACCTTATTCAAAAAAAATGTAGAATGTTCAGTGTATCCTCTCAACTCAGTGACCACTTTTTCACAGGCCTCATAAAGCTCCTCTTGGCCTATTCTATCATCGTTGGCCCATTTTCCTCGATTTTTTCGAACATCCATAAAAAGATTTCTTAATTCATGATCATTCAAAGGAACTGCGTCACGTTTCAGTTGAATTGTTGCAAGCAAATGTTGTAATGATGTGGATCCGGCCCCTAAGTTGATATCCATTTGGGAATGATTTTTGTTGTTCTCATGATTATTTGTTTTACCACCCTTTTTATCTTCCAACTGCATGTCGGATTTTTCTAATTTTCGTCTTTTAAGTAATGTCTCTCTGTCATATTCGAAATTATGATATACTTTATTAAACTCTCTAAAAAGTTTTTCCTGGTCATCATGGTTTGCTTCTGGTTGTTTATTTGCTTCCTGAGTTACATTTGAAGTGGCTTGGGGTTTTTCTGAGTCAGGTTGTTCTTGAACTTGAGGAGCCGGTTTCGATCGGAAAACAGACAATGGGATTTCCAAGACTAGTTGATCTTCTGAATTGAATGTCAACATGTGGTCTGAAGCTTCAGAATTTTCTTGCTGTTTGACTGTGTCTTCATTTTTACCATTCTTCTCTTTTCCATCATCATCTTCCTCCTCGTCGTCATCATCATCGTAGTCGTCTTCTTCCTCTCGTACTTTTGGTTTCTCTGGTTCAGGTTGTTTCTCTGAAGTTGAGTCCTTTTCATTTTCTTGCAAATTATCTAAAGAATCAATCAACTCATAATCATCAGTAACCTCTTCAATTGCATGTAGTGATTGATCTAGTTCTTTTGTGTTGTAATAAAAATCAATTGCTTTCTCCCACAATAGATATCTAATATGTAAAGCTAGTTTTCTACTCATCTCAGAACCTTCTGGAAATGCAACTTCTGGGGCTTCTTCGGGTTCTACTATTTCATTGACCGGTTTCTTAACCTCTTTGGGTTTTTGTTCATCAGTTCTTGGTTCGTTCACTTCACCATCAGGTACTTCTTTATTTTCACCATGGTCTGAATCATTGTCATCGACTTTCTGAAGAATAGGTTTCTCAATCTTGGCATCTTCATCAAGTTTCAGTTTGACATTGCTCTCATCTTTATTATCCTTGACATATGATATATAACAATTACCTTCAAGAAAATTTGTCCAAATTTCAAAATTATTCAATGATACAATATGATCAATAATTTTAAATTGAGTCTCGTTAAGGAAAGCTTCAAAAAAATGACGTGCATTTAACTTTTTTGTTAATTCAAATAATCTCTTTGGATCATTGTTCTGAAATGTTGCAAGTTTGTCCATGGTCTATAGTAAAACCTTGGATTGAAAAACTAAAAAAAAAAAAAAAAACTAATAATAATAATACGCTAAAAAAGAAAAATTGAACTTAAACTGAAAAATAAAAAAAAGGAAGCCTTTGCAAAAGTACTAGTTTAATCAATGAATATACAGAATATGCCAAATAAAAAAAGTATATTAAATAGATGATTACCTTGGTTGAAAGATAGACGTGTGATCTATTCTGTGTCTAGTGATTGATTGGTGTAAATACAGGTGATGGATTTACTCTATCTAATTGTTGAAGCTCGGTGGTTTTTCTGTTGATTTTTGAATTTGCAAAATCCAATTTTTTTTTCTTCTTCTGCTCTCTCGCTCTCGCTTTCTCTCACTAAGTTTCTGGCAACCAGCAATCACCTTTTGGCTGTCTTCCACATTCTCTGTCAACAACAAAATAGAGACAACCAAAAACAAAATTTGATCTTAGAGATCCAACGAGAGATTTGATACAATCTATGTTATAATCTATCCTGAATTTATTTTTACAAATGATAAGATCCTAAACACAACTATACATAAATATATACATATATCTCTGTGATTTGAATACAAATCAACATTCCCCGAAAATGTGGTTCCAGAAATAAACTCAAAGAAAACAAAATAAAAAAAAAAAAAAAACTATAATGACATGATTAAATTAATAGAAAGCATTACGGCATTAGACTTAGAAGCGAGCATGAACGAGTTTAGTTGTGCACTTGATCAAACAGCATATTTCTTAGTCCATTCTTTGGCAGTAGCTTCATATTTCTTTCTATCTTGTTTGTAAATGTGGGCGATTTCTGGAACCAATGGATCATCAGGATTAGCGTCTGTTAATAAGGAACAAATGGATAATAAGACCTTTGAAATAGTTAATGCAGGAGACCATTGATCTTTTAAGATATCTAAACAGATGTTACCATTACTGTTGATATTTGGGTGATAGATTTTGGTTGTAAAGGCAATCTTAGGTGGTTTGAATGGGTAATCTGTTGGGAAGTGGATGCTCAAGAAAAACACACCACCGGCGTATGGAGAATCTGGAGGACCCATGATAGATGCTTGCCAATGATATAAATCGTCACCGACTGGACCAGCGGAACATGATGATGGTGGATCTCTAAAAAAAAGCGTTAGTATTTACCCTGGGTTACAAAAAAAAGTCCTAAAAACATATAGTGGTTGTCTTCATTCGGGTTATTTAAAAAAATGGCTTCCAAACACACATTAAACAATGATTGCTAAGAACGAAAAAAAGAAGATCCAGTTTTGTTGTTGAGAATCTGTCACCGACTGTGGGTGTGTCAGCATACGCCACCCAAAAAAAAAAAACCAACTATGCGTTGGACGTGTTCTTGATAATGGCAAATCCATCATTGGCGATACATTGGATCGAATCAATCTAAATAGTAGAAATCATTGGATCGCGGATCATCATCTATGGATTTCACTTGATATCTTTCAAATCATATTTTTTTCTTCCCATTCTTTTTCTTCTGATTCCTTTGATTTTTGTCGTAGGGCTCTCCGTTTTGATTCGCCATTTTGAATTTGGAAACCACTATAATTTTTTCGTACACTGATGATTGGTAATAACATACCTTCCTAAGTCAGATAATTCTTTATTAATACGTTTTAAAGACATGGTTGTTTATCAAATAAGTTTATATGTGAGTTTGATTTTGAAAATACTAAAATACAAAAAAAAGAAAGAAAGAAAGAGTGAGAGAAAAAAAAAAGGTGAGAAGTTTAAAGAATTTTCTAACAACGAACAACGAAAGTTGTCTCTCTCTCTGTCTCTCTCATAGTGAATGAGATTTTGTTACATCATTTTTTTTCTGTTGTAGTTGTTTCTTTTTGCATGCACTACACAAATTAATTAATAAAATTACTAACTATTGGTATTGGTTAGAAGCACACGACCACACAGTAGGCAATTGTAACGTTCGCACGACCTTCTAATCAAGAGAAAGGAGTAGTGTACTTAGCACAATCTACCATAATTGATCATAGTAAAATAGCCTATGGTGTCTGCCCTTTTAGAAACAGCTTAAATTGATTTCAAATTTCGGAGGAGACCATATAGTCATATGTATAGATTCGTAATTTTTTATCTGTCTCTGTAGGAAGCACGATTTATCGTCAGAACGTTGTTATGATTATTCAATTTATTTTTTGTTTTATTTGGCACGATATTACTGGAAAAAATAAGTAACGGGGCCGGGGGATCGTATGGTCAAGTGAGTGATTTTCTCCCACTCGTATTCTCGAAATAACAGGAATTAATACATTGAAGCGTGGTAAGTAACTCTCGAATATTATTTTATCTGTCACTAACAATATGGAGAAAAATAGATCGATTTAATTGAAAATAGTGAGGGGGGAAGACGTAACATGAACCGTTGGACTTGATTGGTTTATTTGTATTATAATTTATCGTTTTCCTGTCTAAATTAATTAGAAGGGGTGCGGGCGGACTGCCATGGCTGTGAGGGGGGAGAGAGAGAAAGGGAGGTCGTAATAAATATTCTCTAATAAACCGGCGCGATTTAAGATTTGAGTCAGAAGGAGAAAAAATAATTTGAAAATCAAAAAGTTTATATAAGCGATACATATCGTCTCCCCACATACACACAGACACATTCACAAATTTGATACATAACACCTTTCTTTGTCCACTACTTTCCTGTTTGATATTAGTTTCCTTTTTTTTTTGTTGTTGTTGTTATTAAGTTGATGTGCCAGTCCAAATGATAGTTACATTCAATTCAAGATCCCTGAAAAAGAGCAAAGACAAAAGTAAAACCACAGACACAGGTCCAACTTCAGTAAACACCGCCACGCATAAAATATTGAAACCCAAATCAGACGATTCACTGAATGGTATAAAAGTATTAAATGGATCTCAAGATATTTATAAATTCAAGTACCGTTCACGTAATGGGTGCTTAACTTGTAAAGTAAGAAAGAAGAAATGTTCTGAAGAGAAACCTACCTGTAATGATTGTCAAAGATTCGGTAAAAAATGTATATATGTCGATGACTCCATGACAGATGAAGAAGTCAAATCACTTAAAAGAGAGGTGGAAATACAAGAGAGTCAACATAAACTACGAAAACGTAAACCAAAGTCAAAGCTGTCAGATGAGGATAATTCCGAATCGACTCTGATGAAGCAGTCAGTTTCTACTCCTACCCCAATGCTAAACACCACAGAAGTTGTTGATCCTTTAGGTGAGTTTACATATAATTCAAATCTCAGATCCACAAGTAATCCTTCCCTGCCCCATGCGTTATCAAGAACTCCAACTATTGAAAATTTAATCAATCCGACAGAACCAGTTGAACTTCCACCAGCAACATCAACATCAACAACCTCCAAGAGAATTAACACCACCACACCTTCGGAATCAGCGAAAGCCCAAAAAGATACCATCGCTTTGTTTGCTAAGGAAATTAGCCCCAACAGTCCTCTTGAAATTGATAGATCTACACCCACAGCCTTCTTGAACTTTCTACGTGATCTTAGTGCACTTGAGTCTCATGGTAATAATCAAGGAACAGGAAACTCCGGAAAAATTGAAGAAATAGAAAACCCGGGGAGTCCAGATATACGGGAAATTATATCTTCACCAGACTTCAATTCCATGTTGGAATCATTTGAAAATTCCACTCAGCTACTTCATTCGCCTAATTTGACATATGCTGATTTGGTGACGGGATTGAATTCATTTGTGCAACATGAAACACAAATACCACCGTCCCCCATATATATTCCAGAATTAGCTGATCCTACTTGTTCATATCTATACAATTACTATGCTGATGTGTTATCCAAAAAGATCTCCATTGCACCAAGCTCGCAGAATGACTCGAATTCCTATCAGAAGGTCTTCTTACCATTAGCGCATAGAGATAAAGGGGTGTTGTATGCTATACTTGCTTGGTCTGGCTTCCATTTGGGTGGACATTGGTCAGATGAAGGGGTTAAATTTTTGGAATACGCGTTAGATCATTTGCAAAAGACTCCAGTGCAAAATGGCGGTCAAGATAGACAAACTATATTGAACCAATTGGCTACATTGATGATTTTGTGTGCAGCAGAAATTTGTAAAGGTGATGTGAAGAACTGGTCGGGTTTTTTGCATTCTGGATGGAAGTTACTTATTAAAAATGGTGGGATTTTGAATTTTAATCAACTGAAGGAAGAACACTGGTTGATTTCTAATTTTGCTTACCATGATTTGTTGGCAAGTTCATCAATTGAAAGAGGTACTTATTTTCCCTCCGAACAGTATGATTTCATATTTCAGGATACACAAGGTTTCTCCACGGGAAATTTGAATCCTTTATTGGGAATTTCCAAAAATTTGTACAGAATTATTGGGGATATCTCGACATTGCTTTATGCTAGTAAGAAAGAAATGCAGGAATTTTATAATCGTGAATTCAAAGGGACTCCTCCAGAGAGCGCTATTGACGAAGAATGTGGAGGTCATTCTGATATTGAATCAGAAATTAGTGATCATGGGAAAGTTGGCAACATTCTTGCGCTGGTTATTGCCAAAGTAAGGGCATTAGAAGAAGAAATTGACGAATCTAAGCCAGCAGCACTGGATTTAGTAGACTTGACTGATCAAGAATTGGAGTTACAATTGACATTGTTTGAAGCATTTCAACTCAGTGCAAAACTATTTTTAAGACAATCAATTATGAAATGCAATCCTTCGATGTTGGAAAGCCAATCTTTGAATAATGATTTGGTCAAATGTTTGGATATTTTAGTCGGAACATCAGTGCAGGCTTCATTGGTATTCCCTATATTTATATCTGGTATTCATTGTGTATCCAAATATGATCAAGAACTGATGAGACACAGAATTAATAAATTTATCAAATTGTATGGACTTTGGAATGTGTCAAGAGTTAGCTTTGTATTAAACAAAATATGGAAAGAAAATCCTGATGGGAATAAAGTTGTTGATTGGCATAATCTGTTACGAGAACTAGGCTGGGACATTAATTTTGCTTAAACCAAGACAAAAAGTATACATAGACAGTACAGAAAAGAGAAGTTAAATAGGACCGCTACCAAAATATTCACGTGACTTTTTTCTTTTTCTTTTTCTTTTTCTTTTTTTTTATTTTTTTTTTTTTTGCTCGTTGAGTTTTCCTCCTCATCTCATCAAAAAATTTTCTCGCTACATTGTAGAGAGCGAGAAGGAGAAAAAAATTTCATTCCCTTCTAAACAATCGTCTTAATCCTTTCTCTTTTTTTCCACTTTTTTGTCTAATAACCGACTTCTATCAGAACAACATGGCTGGATTAGACTATCTCCTTTTTGAAGAAGCCACTGGATATGGTATTTTCAAAGTTTTGATTCAACAAGATGACATTGCTTCAAGACTGAAAGAAGTTCAAGAAGCTGCCAATGATTTATCTAAATTTTCTAAAATGGTTGAATTAGTTTCATTTGCTCCATTTAAAGGAGCTGCTCAAGCTTTAGAAAATGCTAATGATATTTCAGAAGGTTTAGTTTCTCCTTATTTACAATCTGTTTTAGAATTAAATTTACCTAAATCATCATCAAAAAATAGAATTGCTTTGGGTGTAAGTGATAAAAATTTGGGTCCATCAATTAAAGAAATTTTCCCAAATGTTGATGTTTTATCTAATGAAATTGTTCAAGATTTTTTGAGAGGCATTAGAGTTCATGGTGCTAAATTATTTAAAGATTTACAAGAAGGTGATATTGAAAGAGCTCAATTAGGTTTGGGTCATGCTTTCTCTAGAGCTAAAGTTAAGTTTTCTGTTCAAAAAAATGATAATCATATCATTCAAGCCATTGCTTTATTGGATCAATTAGATAAAGATATCAATACTTTTGCTATGAGAGTTAAGGAATGGTATGGATGGCATTTCCCAGAATTGGCCAAGATTGTTCCAGATAACTATAGTTTTGCTAAATTGGCCTTGTTTATTAAAGATAAAGCTTCTTTAACTGATGATTCATTACATGATGTTGCTGCTATCTTGAATGATGATTCTGGTGTTGCTCAAAGAGTTATTGACAATGCTAAAATTTCTATGGGTCAAGATATTAGTGAACAAGATATGGATAATGTTATAACTTTTGCTCAAAGAGTTGTGAATCTTTTTGAATACAGACAACAATTATACAAATATCTTACTGATAAGATGCATACTGTTGCTCCAAATTTGTCTACTTTAATTGGTGAAGTTGTTGGTGCTAGATTGATTTCCCACGCTGGTTCTTTAACCAACTTGTCTAAACAAGCTGCCTCTACTGTCCAAATTTTGGGTGCTGAAAAGGCTTTGTTCAGAGCTTTGAAAACTAAAGGTAACACTCCTAAATATGGTTTAATTTATCATTCTTCATTCATTGGTAAAGCAAGTGCTAAGAACAAAGGTAGAATTTCAAGATACTTGGCTAACAAATGTTCTATTGCTTCAAGAATTGATAACTATTCTGATGAACCAACCACTGCTTTTGGTGAAGTTTTGAAGAAACAAGTTGAAGACAGATTAAAATTCTACGATACTGGTTCTGCTCCAATGAAGAATGCTGATGCCATTAAAGCTGCTTTGGCTTTGACTGGTAAAGATGCCGTTTCTGAAGATGTCGACATGGATGATGATGAAGAAGAAGAAGTAGAGGAAAAGAAAGAAAAGAAAGACAAGAAAGAAAAGAAGGAAAAGAAAGACAAGAAGGAGAAGAAAGACAAGAAAGACAAGAAAGAAAAGAAAGATAAGAAGAGAAAATCAGATGATGGTGAAGAAACTCCAAAGAAAAAGAAAAAGAAGTCTAAGGATTAGATTAGAATTTCAATTTAGTCTTATTTTTTTTATCTATATATAAAACATTGTGTACATTATAATATATTTCCAGAGAAAACACGAAAACTACGTTAAAATTCAATTTGCAATTTTCACCATGTATTTAGATATTTAAGCATAAAAGTTAATAGAGTTAAACATAAAGAGACAACAACTCCTACCAATTTGCCTTACAATCATTTATTATCGGGTTTATCTTTTTCTTTCAGATTATCGCCACCTCTTGACATCATATTACCAACAATTTTAAAAGTTCTTGAAATTTCACTAGCATGACCTTCATTAGGAATTTTTTTACTATTTGGGAAATGATTTTCAACAAATTGTTCTAAAGTTTGATTAAATGGACCAATTAATGGATCAGCTTGACTGGAAATGATACCTTTACCTTCAGAGTCATATACTTTATTTTGAAACTCCTCTTTAACCGTTCCCAATGCACTCTTTGTCGGCTCGACAAAATTCTTGTTGACGGAATCATTAACTGTAACAATCCCTTTTTGAACACTTTCAACAGTACTACTAACTGGTTTTGTAATGGGATCGGTAATATCTTGAATTTCAGTTGTTTGTAAACTTGGAAACCATTTGTCTACTTCGTCAAGTATTCTATTTGTAAAATTATCACTTTTACCAACTACATATTTCATAGGTTGATAACTTCTAGCAAAAGAAAATGAATTACCCATAAGTGAAAATACACTTTTACTTAATGGAATTAATTCAATGGCGTTTTTGGTTGATGTTAATACTGGATATTGTCTTAAATGATGTAAAGTAAGTAATTCATCACTAGTGAGCTCTTGTGTTTGTTGAGGTATATTATTACTACTTGGTCCTTCAATTGGAGATGATGGATTATTATTGTTGTTAGTTGTAGTTGTTATAGTAGGAGATTGATTTGGTTTATTGTTAGCAGAAGACATTAGTGAACTTAAAATATCTAGCACGGTAAGGAAGCAAACTAATATAAGAAAAGAAAGAAGTTCACGAGTTGAACTCATGAAATCTTTTTCCCAAAAGAAAATTATTCAATTAGCATATTTAAGTTTATGTCAAGATTATATATATTCTAGGTTTTGTCATTACTTTTTTTTTGCTGCGAAAAATTACAAAAAAATACAAAAATATAAACAAACGGGCAAATTCAGTTTACTATCAATTTTTCCATTAATATATTAAGAAAGAGAATATATATATATAAAAACTATACTATTTCTATAGAGGTAATTTTTCTTTTAAAAAAATAGCATCACACATTGATACACAAAAATTTATTGTTGGAAATCGTCGTCTTCGTCTTTTGGTTCTCTTTGATTTTCATCATCACCATAATAACCATGTTGGTTTCCCATCAAATCAATTGGATCAATGGGGTTAGGTTGATAAGACGGTTGCAAATACATACCAAGTGGTTCTGGTGGTTCATTGAACATCAGAGTAAAATCAGTATGCTCAGCATGAGCAACATGATCAACATGATCAACATGTTCAACAGGTGTACCTAATGATGAATGAGATCCATCACCTGAATCTCGTAAAGTTAAATTTGCATCGTAATCATGTGGATTTGTATCTGTTGGTTGAACAACTGTTGAACTTGATGCAACTCGTAAATCAGTTTCTAATCTTGACATTGCTGGAATACTTATTGTTCTTTTTATTGTTCTTTGTTTTCTAACTTTTTTAAGATTAGGTGGTTGTAGTTGTCTAGTTAAAGTAAGTTCTCTTGGATGTGAAGTTGGTACTATAGCTCCTATTTTGAAAATTCTATTGTTTGTATCCTTTTCGTCAATTCTACTTTGCAATATTCCTTCTGGATCATGATATCTCATATCACTAACAATCAAATTAACCACATTCCGAGTTTTTAGTAAACCTTTTTCAAGCATAGAAGCAGTTTCTTGTAATCTCTCCGTATCAAGACCATTCTCCAGAATTATCCTTTCAAAATGACAAATATATAAAATCTCATGAATTATAGCTTCAGTATGTTGAATTTTATGTCTAATTGAGTTCACATTAACATTTTCTAATTGAAATTTAGGATCTCGTACCACATTAATCAATACTTGAATTCTTTCATCTTTTTTCAAATGATCAGGTTCGGTATGAACAACATTAGGGGGCCACCATTCTGGTTTAATATCTTTTCTAGTATATGGGAAATATTTTTGTTTATCAGGTTGAAGGATTTTTATCCAAGATTTCGCAATATCTTTACAAACATTTTGATTTAATGAATTAAATAAATCTCTTAATTGACAAGCAACTTCATCATTATTAATACTAGGATTGAAAGATTTATACAATTTAATAGTTTTAAAGTGATTCAATACCGGCCGAATATTTGTTATTGATCTTTCTAAAATAATTCTAATATCAGTAGTTTCTGATTTGGTGAAATGATTTGAGAAATGAAAACTAAAATCAGTAGTTGGTGAAATACCTTGAGTAATTAACATAAACTTAATGAATTTCTCTTCAGATATCTGATGAAGCAGTTGAACTATTCCATTGATTTCCGGAACTATAAAATCCGCCATATTTGAGTTTTATGGTTTAATTATTTAATTAACTAATGTAATTGAATAGTAATAATAATAATAATAATAATAATAATAATAATTATAATTATTATAATTTAGACAATAGTTTTGTAACACAGGGTTAATCACTTCGTTATTTATACTTATAAGAATGTCATATACTTCTTAATCTTGTGTCAGGTTTAATGCAAAAGTTATGTGGCTGTCCATTTTGTTTCATGTTTAATGATAACACTACATTTCGAAACCTTGGTCCGGAGAGATGGTAATCAAGTAGAGAGGGTCCATTTTCTTGTTAATTAATGTTTCAGAGTTGATTCGTAATAAACTCTGACCCGAAAAAGACGACAAGTCAAAATATTGATACTGAGAAAACGTGACAGTATAACCGATACTGTATTTGCCCAATTAGGCAGGTCTGCCACAGCCGCATTAATCGTATGTTTGACTTTTATTTTCTTTTCTTTATCGTTTGATCAATTAATAAAACTTCAAACTATACAATTCCTATAGGCATACAATAGATTGGATCAATTTGTTTGAAATTATACTTTTTGTGGTTAATTAATGATAAAGCAGTGATGGCAAAACATGTGTGGTATACATCGGTTTGATTATCTGGTCGATCACTAAATCCACCATTTTCTAAATCTTGACAACTTAAAATAAACTTCTCTAACTTGTCTAAGTCAACCTTATCTTTGTTATCTAACATATCTAAACTTGAAAGTACCCACCAACTATAACACACATCCGGTAATTTTTCTGGTCTACCATTGAAGCCACCTGTATCAGTTTGTCTTTCAATCAACCATTCAACAAGTTTAGATTTATCTTTAGCATTAATCAAATCCAAATTTTTCGTAATAGCTAATGTTCCAATACATGTGAATGCTTGAGCTCCATGACTTTCAGCACCTGGAACTAATCCAAATCCTCCATCAAAATTGAAACACTTAAGAATGAACTGACTTGCTGAGTCTCCAATCTCTTTAGTTAATGAACCCAATAAATATAATGAATAAACAGCAGTATACACAAATCTTGTATCTACTTCTCCGTATTTATCTCCTTGGAAACTACCATTAGGTAATTGTAAACCAGTAATGAATTTAATCAATTTGTCCTTCTTTTCAATTGGTAATATATTGGATAATTTTGGATCATATATAGATAATATTTGTAAAGCAGATAAAGTAGATAACATATGTGCATCATGTTTAGGAAATGATCCAAAAGCTCCTGATTTTTCATCCCAACATGAAAATACATAATCAATTACTTCTGATTTTGGTAATACTTCTAATTCATTCATGGTTATTAATGCAGTAATTCCCCAATATAATCCATTCATTCGTAAATGCTCACTTAACCAATATTCAAATGATCTATGTGATTCTTGTTCAGTAATGAAATTGACATGTTTGGATTTGACAAATGGGATAGATTCGGACATGATTGATGTGTGAGTTGAGATGATCTCTGTGTGTTGTAGGTATTCATTTTTGTTAGAATTTTTTTTTTCTTCCTTCGATCATTTGTGTTGAACTCAACTTGGTCGGCTGCAAACCAACAAGATATATACATACCAGAGTTAGATGAATATACAATTATATTGATGAATAGGAAATATGAATGGATATAACTAGAAGGAAATAGGACCAACAGATTCATGTGAATTGCTGATCTGTTTCGTTGTAGTATTCTCGGTGGAAGTACGAGACTTGTAAGGTAAACTTGCAACAATTCCTCATCCCTGGGCAAATATCATCTACATCTTATCTTACAATCTACACAATACATGTATTTTTGATCCTTTCTGACCACATTATTGTCTTTATCTATCACGTGATTCGAGTCATTCCTAACCACAGTACACGTCTTCATCGTTTTTAATTGTAATCAAGGGGCTAGCACGCGTTTAAAGATGTAATTGTCAATTTTCTTTTTTTTTTTTACTTTTTTTTTTTCTCTCATCTGTATCTCTTTACAGATAATCAATCTATCCAATATCCCAAACCAAAAATGACAGAGTGGAAAGATTTACCGTTTGAGATCCGTCAAAAGATCTTTGATTATGTTCCTAATGGTATTGAAAGAAATTCCAGAACTTAGGGAATTATCATATCATTCACTTTACTACACTTTACGTATTGGAGAGTTCTTTAATGGTTCAACAATTCATATTTCTTATGATACTTTACTTCATGATAAAGAACAAATTCCTGTTTTGAAAAATGTTTCTGAATATTTTGATTTATTAAAAGATCATCCTGAAGTTAAACCTAAAAAGATCATATTTGATAATCCTTTTACTGCTTCATTTTTGACTATGAAATTTCCAGATTCTGTTAAAGATGTTGACATTGAGATCAATATAAATGGTCAAGGAAGAAGTCTGAAAACCATGTTTATGTTTTGTAATTTGGTCGAACAAAAGCCTGTCCCCGTGAAATCTTATGTTTATAATAATATAGGTTGTATTCCACCGAAAATTGCTCTTCCATTATATGAAGGATTAGAAGAAGTCACTGTTCCAGCAACTCTGGAGTTTGAAATGTTTAATCCGGAAAAGATTGTCGGATATCCAGTGATTGGATTTGCAAAAGCAATTTTCCCAAATTTGAAATCACTTTCATTTATGAGACGTATTTCTCCCACGGAAGTTAATCGTTTCCCAAAGCAATTAAAGAAATTATCTTGTCATATATGGATATCTAATGACCCAATTGCTAAGGATATTATTTTACCTCCACATCGTCGTTCAGTGAATAAAAATCAAGATAAGAAGAAGCAATTGCTTGATGTCAAATTCCCTGAGAATTTACAAGAGTTGGAAATTCTTGCTGACGATGACAATCCTCTGGCAGAATCCATCATTGACATTTCCAATTTATCTAAACTTAGAAAATTCAAAATTAGTAGTCCTTTACAAGCAAAAGGTCATTGTACTTTAAAACTTCCATCTGGATTGAAAGAATTGTATTGTGAATCTGGTACTTTTATGGCTGATACATTGGATGTCATGTGTCCTAATTTGCAAATATTGGAAATCGATGAAAATGATATTAAATTTGAGCAACTTGCAGATATTGTCAGACATTTACCATCATATTTGGGCTGTTTGAAAATTCCATTAAAAGCTTTTAAAATGTTAGATAACAAGGCCACTGCGAAGAACCAAGACACCGATAACAGAGGAATGCTTGGTAAAGCAATTTCGGGTGTTTCAAGTTATGTATTTGGCTCACCTGGTACTACTACTGAACCTACAAGCGACGTCCAATGGAAATTACCTGAAGGATTAAGAGAGCTTGAAATTGTCGGGAATGGTGAATCTAATGAAAATACTGTTCTTGATTTTGAATTGAATAAATTGACTAATTTGGATAAATTAACCATTTCTAAAGGTAAAAAGTTGAAAATTATTGGAGATTTCCCAGAAAATCTTACTGAATTATCACTTGGAGATGTTGATTCCAGTAATTTGAGTAAAGTTTACAAGCTTAGTAAATTACACGACCTTCAAGTTGAAGGACCAATTGGTACTGATGATTTCAACATTGATCTTCCTGATTCGTTGATTATTTTGATGTTGTTCAATTGTAAATTGAAACAAGTTCACGTTACTGCACCAAATGTTCGTAATTTGGTTACTTTTGGTAATAATTTCTCCGATATGAATTCAAAAACATTTGTTGTTCCTGATTCAATTAAAAAATTGTGGTTAACACAATCAGGTATAACAAAAATTTCTATTGAATTACCACCTAATTTAGAAAAGATGAGTTTGTCAGCAAACGATATTTATTATGTCGATAATTTACCAAAAAATTTAAGACAGTTGGATTTAATACTGACAGGATTAGGCAGTAATAACAAAGCATCTAATTTCCCAGAAGGTTTAGAAAAACTTGATATTTCAGGTAACGCAATTGATGGGGAATGGTTGAAACGTCTGAATATTAAACAATTACCAAATTTAAAAGATTTAAGTATAAGAGATAATCAAGCAATTCTGCTCGATCCAAGAGACTTGCCACCTTCATTAGCGGTATTGGATATCAATGGGGGATTTTATGCATCTATTGAATCTGATTTTAAATGTTTACCAAATCTTGAACAAGTTGATTTCACCGCTAATCATGTTAATTCATACTTTGAGCTGTTTGCAGATTCTAAAAAAGAAATCTTTGGTGATAAAATCAATTTCGTAAGTGTTAGAGATCCTGGTATTTCCAAGAAAACAGTCATTGCATTAATGAATGAATTAAATCCTAAAAAAGGATATGTTGATGTACCACAGAGATTACTTGATACTATGGAAATGAGAACTAGTATTCTCAGAGTTGGTTCACTTGGTAAAAATGGTCCATTTGATTAGAATGAAAATCTAGGTCATGTATTTAAATTTCTTTGAATATACAATTTTTAGTAGCGGGATAATATTCCATATAATTAAATTGATTATTATCTTGATTTGAAGCAATATTAACCACTTTACAACCATTATAAGTAACATCAAATTGAGGGAAACTTTCATCATGTAAAACAACCATATTTGGAGCAGGTTCAAGTCTAAAACAATGATCATATTGTAAATTAACCATATTTAAACCATTATTAATACCAAGATATCCTTGATCAAGTAAAGTTTTAACCAATTTTCTAGCTTGTTTAGTTTTACTACTCAATATCTGATCTTTATTAATATCTTCAATAGTACCGAAATTTAAATCATTTTTTCTTAATTTCAGCATGAATTGATCTTTAATAATAATTACTTCTTGACTTAAATAAGCTAAAGTTGTTGGATTTGATGATATTGAAGTATTTGGATATTTCACTTTTTGAGCAAAATTAATTGAATCAAGTGATATTGTTCCATTCAGAATTAAATCTCCTGTTAATAAAACAATTTTCAGTTTAGTAAAAATATTTGGATATAATTTATCAAAATTTTGTTTATGAAATTCTTTCCCTATAGTCAGGGAAATTGTTGTACTGGTGGTGGTGGTGGTGGTGTTTGTAAAAACTATTGCAATTGGGGAATGGTCATCTGATTCGATTATAGAATTTTCAATTTTATTGAAAAATTTATTTAATTTATCAATTATTGAAATATTTCCTGATACAAATATGATTTTTTGAAATGGGAATTTTGATTCTTTTTCAATTAATAATTTTCTATATTTTTTAGAAATTTTAATTGATTTTTCACCAGTTAATGTTGAAAATTGTTTATGAATACCTAAGAAATCCAAATTTCCATAATAATCCAATGATTTATCTCTTCTTTCACTTGGTGGATGACCAATATTACTAACATAGAAACAACCACCCATATAATTTGAATCTTGATTTGATGTTGAACTTCCACTTGCAGAATAAATACCTTCAACTAAGAAATACATCCCTAAACAATGGAAACATCCCAGGGATTTAAACGTTTGATTTAAATTTAACTCAATATAATCAGTTTCATCTTCTAATATAAACTCTCCATTATTATTTTTACAAAGTAACCCAAATAATAAAAATTTTTGTCCATCTCTACCTAACATATTTTTAATTAATGATATTTCATGACTTTGTTTAATTCCCGATTTAATTGAATTTAAAGCTGATATACTCATAGCTGAAGTTTTTTGGAAATTTTCATTACGAGACAATCTATCTCGAATTAAACTATATCTATTATAATAAGAATTGACCTTAGCCGGTAAACTATCTTGTAATTTTGACAACAATGAATTATCCGATTGATATATAATATCAAATTGTTTTCTTGATGGATCAAACACACTTTTTGGTTGATTTTTAGCTGATATAACTTTAAAATAATCTCTCCAATCAATATCATCATCATTAAGAAGTTCTTCCTCTGGTGCATCCTCACCATCATCAACAGTATCAACAATAGTATCCGTACGATGAGCTTTAGAACCCCCATCTAATTCATTATCTTTCTTTGAATTCAATTCTTTAATAATTTGTTTCAATCCATTGGAATCAATAAATAATCCTCGATCTTCTATCTTCCAAATTTTAGCAATTTCTTCAAGATATTGTTGTGATCTTATACTTTTCCAATCAGTTCCAAATTTATAACTTATAACTTCAGTCAATACTCCTAATGCTTCAGTATTGATATTTAGTCCATGTTTTTTAGAAAATATTCTAAATGCTATAGGTCGAAGATTAGCCGGTCTAAGTTTAATAGGTAATGATCCTGTTTCCATCGTTGATTATTGTTGATGGTCTGATGAACTATACTTAGGAAAAAGAATTATAAAAAAAAATTTCAAGACGCGTTTTTCTTTTATTTTTCCTTTTTGAAATTGGTGATTGTGCGGCGTAACGTAATGCTGCCATGTGCGTAATCAAACGTGATAATAAATCACGTGATACTTACACGCATTGATTGTGTTTTTTTTTGTAAAGGATGTAACATCAAATATTCTAATTTGTTTTTTAACCGCTAGACAAGAAAAAAAATGTGCCTAGATTTGCCCAATAGTAGGAACGGTCAAACACCGGACATACGGCCACAATCCCATTACATAACTAAAAATGTTAAGAACCTGCCAAGTAAAGATTTTTGCTATGTCCAAGAGTTATGAAGTCAATACAAACAAGTTATGTTTCCAAAATGACTGAAAGTCATCCCAAAATGATTCAATTACAATATTTGACTAGAGTCAATCTTTGACTAGAGTCAATCTTTGGGTTAGGCCAACAGTGAATAACTTCCCAAAATTTCAAAACCAAAATGAAAGACGCAAAAATAAAGAGGAAAGGAATTTTCATTGGAGGGAAAGATAAACGCAAAATCAAAAAGTAAATTGTCACAAATCTGACGTAATTTGCTCTCCCTCCTCCGTTCCGCCCACCATGCAAAATTTTGCTACAAAGTGTGCATAAATGCTATTGGATAGATCGCTCAAAAGCTCACAATCAAATTTCCGCTAAGATAAACACGGTGGTAATTAATATGCAAATAGATAAGACAACTCCGTAAGAACCAATATCACACAGACATCCAATAAGAAAGATTATTAGGCCAGTTAGTTCATAAAATTTTTTCATTCTCCCCCATCTCATCTCTCCACCCCCCCCCCTCGGAGTAATGAAACTTCCGACTCGGAAAAAAATTTTTTTTTTCTTCAACGGAATAATAATAATAATAATCAAAGACTTCTCTCTGTCTCTTTAACCAGTGGTTTTCTCATCAGTTACTGATTGATATGCCCCACCTTTAAATATTAGTTCATGTTGTGGGGGAAAAGTCTAAGGGTATTTGTTGCAACTATTGCCACTTTGTACATTGTTGTTACAAATCGCCTTACTTATTTGCCTTGGTTCTTACCAACTCAAATACTAGACTAACGGCGTTTGTATCAAATTAGTCAGAATATTTTATGAAGTTATAACGCAAGCGAAACGAATCATACATTCAAAATGCCTAATTTTTTTTTTTCCTTTCTTTTTCATAAGGTTACAACTAGCGGCAAAAATAGGTTTAATTTCAAAATGAGTTAACGCAAGAGATAAATTACACAAAGCGTTTGGATATTTCATTTGCTACTGAAAATCCAAGCAAATCGTCCCCCCCCCCCTTGAAGTATATTGTATTAACTCCGGTTAGGTGTTTAAGGATCAGGTTCATAGACAACACCATTTAGTACTAACCATAAGGCAAAAGAGTGTTCAAGATACTGACTGAAGAACTACTTAGAGTATTCCACCCTTCCACGGCAATGCCTTCTTCTTCTTCGACGAAGTCAGATTTATGTTTCTTTTTTTTAACTTCTGACTAGTCTTTGTGCTACCACTCATCTATATACCGGAGATGCATGAAAAGTGCAAAAACAAGAGGCATTTCATATGAGTGGTTCCTTGGTACAATTCGGAGCATTATTTTTTTGTTGAAAATTTCGGAGGTGTAATAATTCTTAAATATTTGCAATCTGTTTTTATTGAAAATGTATATAAATACCTTTTGAATTTTCCCCAGATTTGATTATTCGATATAATTTTGTAATCCAAATTGTTTTGATTTTATTTTTTCTATTTTTTTGATATTTATCTTTAACTATTCTATTCAATTCATTATTCAATTTTGTCCTTTCCCTTTTTTTTTTAGTATAACTTTTTTGCATTCATTTACATTTTCAAAGAAATCTTGAAAAGAAAACCAATATAATTACAATCCTTCTTTCATTTTTTTATTATATTTTATTTTTAATTTATTTATACCAATATGTCAGTTGAAAAAGTCCCAGTAAATAACAAAGTTGAGACGATTAATCTGGATGAATTATTCACAACAGGTAGTATATCATCATCTACATCCAACACTTCTTCTACTAGACCAAGAGGACTTGTATCAAATTTCATTGATTCATTCAAAAGAGCCTCGGGAAAAACTTCATCAGATGGTAAAATTCAAAGTATATCAAAAACAGAATTACGTATTATGTCATTATCTACAGGATTAGGTACTGGGTTATTAGTTGCTTCAGGTAGTAAATTACGTCAAGCTGGTCCATTAGGTATGTTGATTGCCTTTTTTTGTACTGGTATTATTATGTTAACACCAACAATTAATTCAGTTAGTGAATTGGCAATTGCATATCCTGGATTACCTGGTGGTTTCCAATCATATTATGCTAAATTTGTTGATGAGAGTTTGGGTTTTGCCCTTGGTTGGAATTATGGAGTTCAATGGATGTGTGTTTTAGCTTTAGAATTGGTTACCGCGGCCATGACTATTGAATTTTGGACAACTTCTATTAATCCTGATGTATTTGTTATGATTTTTTTCATTATTGTTACTTTAATTAATTTAGGTGGTGCTAAAGTTTATGCCGTTGCTGAATCTATATTTAATTGTTGTAAAATTTTATTTTTAGTTGGGTTTGTTATATTTGGTATTATTATTGATGTTGGTGGTGGTCCAAAAGGTTTTATTGGTGGTAGATATTATCATGATCCTGGTCCTTTTACTTCATTTAAAGGTTTGGCTTCAGTTTTTGTTACTTCGCTGTTTGCTCTTGGTGGTTCTGAATTTATTGCTCTTGCCGCTAGTGAAACCGCAAATCCAAGATCATCAATTAGAGCCGCATCTAAAATGGTTTATTTTAAAGTTATTGTTCTTTTCCTTGGATCGTTGGCATTAGTTGGATTATTGGTTAGTAGAGAAAATCCAAGATTAATGGGTAGTGGTGGTGGAGGTTCTCATGCCTCACCATATGTCTTGGCTGCTGAATTGAATGGTATCAGAGTTCTTCCACATATTATTAATGCTGTTATTTTAATTTCTGTTACTTCGGTTGCCACGGCAGCAATGTATAGTTCCCCAAGATTGATTCAATCAATGGCTGAACAAGGTTTGGGACCAAAATGGTTGGATTATATTGATAAAAAAGGTAGACCAACCAGAGCATGGTTTATTTCTATATTGGCAGGGTTATTTGGATTTATTGCTGCTTATGAAAAACAAGAGACTGTATTTACTTGGTTGTTGTCAATTTCTGGTATTTCATTTATTATTTGTTGGTTATTTATTTGTGTTTGTCACGTTCGTTTTAGAGCTGCTTTAAAATTTAGAGGTATTTCATTAGACACTTTGGCATTTGTTTCTCCAACTGGACTTTGGGGTTCATATCTTTCAATTATTATTAATAGTTTGATTTTAGTTGCACAATTTTGGGTTTCACTTTGGCCATTAGGTGGAGATGGTAAACCTAATGCAAATTCATTTTTTGAAAATTATTTAGGTGCTCCAGTATTTTTGGTTTGTTATTTGGCTCATAAAATTTGGACAAAAAATTGGAAATTGTATAAAAAAGTTGAAGATATTGATGTTGATACCGATAGAGTCATTCACGATCCAGAAATTTTAGCTTTAGAAAGATTGGAAGAAAAGGAAAGATATCAAAAGGCGCCAATTTGGAAAAAGTTGTTGATTATATGTTTTGAATAAACTAACGGTGTATGTTGTAGATGATTATTATTATTATTATTATTTATAGGTTTGATTTTTTGTTCAATATAAAATAAAATTGACAATAGATGCGATTGAGTTTTGATGTACAACTATTGGTGTGGTCTAAATTTGTAACGATAGTCTACAGAATGACAGCATAATATAAAACAATGTGATATAAAAATATGTATATATATTATAAATGTATTGATATACTATTATGCTAGATCATCATATAAGTTAGTAAATTAATAGGTATAGAATACATAGCGCTTTATGTTGACGACATGCTCATAGGTGCCAATAAAACAACTCATTAACTAAAATGTTGGACAGAATTAAATAATTTATAAAAATGCCAATGTTTTTAATGAAATCGAATTCGATGAATTACTTGAATTAGAGAAGAAAAAGGAAAGAAAAAAAATTTTTTTTTTCTGTTCATGAATGTGGTTGATGGAGAATCGTTGGAATATTCATAGTCTTGCACTTTTTTCTTTTTATTTTTTGGGCAGTTTGTGATTCGTGCACGACCGCGTGATGTACACAATCTGATTTCAGTGGTCAATATGAGAGAAAACATTGCAAGGTAAAATGAAACCGAAATCACAACATGTAACTACAAAGTATGAATCAATAAATATGTGTATATATCTGGTTTGTATTAAAAAGTATGCAATATATTAGTAAGACAAATGTTAGTAGAAATCACTTTAACATGGCATTTTAATGTCTCTAAGTATAAGATTGTTCAAATGAATCATCTTTAAAGAAATTGTCTTACCTATTTTAACCATAGAAGGCAATATCAATTATTTTTGATACCTGTTCTCCCCACAAGAGACGCGCTTCATGGGTGGGTGTTATAAACCTCTTTTTGGATACCACCACAATTATTCGGTTTAGAAGTCAGTCTCCAACTCACCTTTTTCCTTTGAATGGTGTTAGAAGAAACATTAAAATGGGTAAACAATATATACATTAGATCTATGTGTTTTATCCCATTTTGGTGATGTATCAATGATGTTTTCAAATTGCAAAATTTATCTGCAAATGCGTAATACTCATATTAAGTAATGTACCTAAATCGAGATCGCAGTATGCGCTTAGAAGGATATGCGACTTTATGCACCGTTCACGTGTGGAATTTCACGTGACAACTTGTCGAATTTAAATGTATATGTCTAGAAGGTGGAATTAGGAGATTTAGATAAATTTGTCATTACCCAATAGTATCTTGATAACAAAATTTACACCTGGTCAACGACAGGAAAACTGCTTGGTCTAGTTTGATTTTGTGGTCAGTAATACCCAAGTTGTAGAATCATAATGGCCATAATACTACTTATATGACAAGTAATGCATCTGGTCTTTCATCTATGGTTAGAATGATTAAATCATACCACGATCTTTCGACATTCAAATGTATTTAATTTAAATGATTTCTGATAACTAAATTGTCAATTCTACAAATTACAAAGCCACATTATATATACCAAAATGTTGGGGTTTTCATTGTTGTTTGATTTTCTTATCTCTCTATATACACACCGCCTTTTTTTAATAACCAGGTTGCTCATATCAACCAAATTTATTATAGTTAGTTGTATAATATGTTACTAGTAAATGTACCTGGTAATAACAATAGATATGTAAAGAATACTAAAATTGGATATGAAATTCTCTAAACGTGCATATAAATTAAGTGTGTCATTGTTTTTAAAATGATGATGATAATGATGATGATGATGAGTGAATGATTAAGGGGGAGAGAGAAAAAAAGAGATTAAGTTGACGACCAAATTGAAGGCTGGTGAATGAACTGATCTAACGGAATGTTCGTTGGGTATTTTATAAATTTACATACCGATATGTTTTTTTAGCTGCAAATAAAATTTTACCCATCTGAAAAAGCAAGAAAAAAAAAAGGGGGTACGATATTAATTTAAAAGGGGGTTAAACAATAAGAAGAAAAAAAAAAAGGGGGCAAATTTTATACAAATGATATTGTATCACAAATTAATAGATTAGTTACTCATCGATGAGGTTAGATGAATTTAACAGTATCGATGAGTGAAATTAAAAGGGGGAGTGGTATAAAATTAATCGCCCAACTACGAGTATTACTTTGTCTTATGTAATACATAAAAAGTAAAAAAAAAATGTAGTATAACTTATTTGTTATTAGAAATTCAATATATTATTAATGTCTATTATTCATTCGTTGATAATAATAAATTTCAATTCTTTTTTTATCAAAACCACTGGACCATATTTATCATCTTAACAACTTACATTCTTCTTTTTATTATTATTATAATCCTACTTTTGTCAATTTATAATCGTAAAGTCAACTAAATTTTGACAAACCCACGTGATTTTTATCATTCTTCATGGATGTACCTTAACTTGACTTATTATTTTGTTTAACCCATGATACATGTAATATAAAGGAATGAAATGACGTGAATCATAACCCTTACATGTACTGCTTTTATTTTACTCTGCTTTGCTTTACTTTTTTTTTTAGTCAACTTTAGAAGAGTGATATTTAATTAATTCTAGAACCCCCTTGATTTAATGAATGTTCAACTGATATATAGAAGAAATTGTAATTCCGTATTGACGATGAATTTTATCTTATTACTTTGATAATCCAAAGTAATGAATAAACAAATATATAAAACAAAAACCCAGTTTACAAACCATTTATTCTTCTTATTATCGTTTCATCCAAGTTTGGTTTAATGATATTAAGCGATGTTGATGATGACGTGAAATCCATTCATACATGTTTTTTTTACACTACTTCATTATTCTTAAAGTGCAGTGAAAGAAGCTTAACCGAATAAGTATAAAGCACATTACTTTTTTTTTAGTAAAGAACCCTGTGATGAGAGACTTGGTGTTATTCTTGTGATTTTGATTCTGAATCTGTGTGTGTTTGTTGTCGTTTAGCTTGTTCGAGTAAATCCTGGTTTTGTAAGTAGTACTGCAAAATGTATAAGAACAACTTTAAAAAAAGGGGAGAAGGTGATATAATGCATCAACTAATACTAAATAATAATCAAAAATTGATTATCGATTTCATAACCTTTAGAATTCCAAATAATTATATACATTTTTTTAAAATCGAGTCTAGATTCGTATAAAACAAAAAGTACCTTACATTCTTTACCATAACGTTATATATCACATCAAAGAACAAATGGAGATTAGCCGACATCCAAACTATAACAATTAACTGACCTATGAATTGCTAAAAGTAAACGATTCTGGTATAAAACAACCGGTGCAGGACGACAATAAACAGCGGTAAGGAAGTAAACTGAAAAAGAAGTACATTTTCTTAAAATATAAATGTAAGAAGACAATACAGAATGATATGCAATGAGTTTATTCAGTAATTGACAATTGTATTATCAACTTATAGAGAATAAGAATGTATTTCCTTTTCCTTTTCCTTTTTGTTCTTTATTTTTTTTTTTTTTTTTTCTGTTTGCATAGAAATGGGATTATCATGTATGATCTAAATTTCATATAAAAGAAAAATTCTGAAACAAACTCAAAGTTGAAATTTAACACAAGAACTTCAATTGAAAGAGCGTTTTTTGGATTGATTTTACGGATGAAGGTCATTTAACCGAAATTTTATATGTAGGGGGTTAAAAAAATGAGGAGGTTTCTTCTGTCTCTTCTTTTTCTAAAATAAACATTCTTGTGGTATGTTTCTTGGTTAATTGATGATGTTGATGATGATGAGTTATGAAAACAAAAAAAAGCCAAAGAAAAGAAAAATTTTAGGGCTTGTTTCATGAATGAATTTTATTTACAGAACCGTACTTTGTATGAGAAACATTGATTGGATGGACTAATGTTGAAACAAAATTAGTTCAATTGACTAGTGTTGAAGCTAAATTAATTCAAGAGTGGATATGTTTCATATTAGCTTGTAATAGTTCCGCTGGTAGGTATTACTTCATGAAATAGTCATTCGTTATAGGACACCTAACATGTATTCCAATGGGTTTTAAAAATTTCTATGTTCTGTAAGGTGGGTGAAATAGACCGTAACAAAGATCGGCGATATTTCTATAATCAAAAATAATGTTTCATAATTGAGGTACCTAAGGCACACATACATTGTAAATAATAAATCACCCAGACTTTGTTCTAGCTCATCATTAATACTTCATACACAAATTTGTAGAATAATATTACATGTATAAAAAGATCATCATCAATAACTCATCATTGTACAATAATAAAGAAAGAAAAAAAAAACAAAGCATTCCAACAATAAACAAAGTAGGAAAAAGAATCTAGAACTGATATCAGAACACAATTCCATCATGATGATGTTGATGATGTTTGAACAATAAATCAAGCAGAAAAGAAGAAGAAGAAAAAAACGTATACTAAAGCACAGCAACTGAAGACTTAAACCTAATGGTCATTCTTCTTCGTGTTTGTTGAATAGAAGTATCATGAGTTAACTTATGTAATCTCCATTTCAACTATTGTCAAACCTTCCCCCGCCCAATGGAACTTCTCACCACCAAGAGGAATAGCAGAGTGAATGATCTATACGAACAATATGAAATTCCCATTGTATCTTTTGGCCCTGAAATCTAGATTTCAATTCCTGATACTAACACAAAACAAAGTGATTCATTCTTGTTCTTTTCTTTTGGTACTTATAATTATTCTTACCAAAAGGATTGTACTGATTATTATTATTATTATTATTGGTATTCAGAATATATATTGTGGCTAAAGCATGTAAGGGCGACTCTGTGATTATTATTTATGAAAATACACATTCATGTGTGGAATGGTCTAGATATCAATGATCTTCATCAGCAGTAAAAATCCGACACACATAGTACTATCTCACAAGGGAATTCAATATCCACTATCATTATCAATAACAATTTATCACAAAATAATAAGCCCACATTCAATTCAATAATTTATCATTCCCGTAAAGTAACATTAAGTTGTCATCTAGACCTTTCTTTTATTTCAAGTTTGAGTGGTATTATTGTCGATCAATGCAGGGATTTACATATACATAATATTTATACGTCTTTTGAATTAACTTTCACAAAACCATTAATGGTAGAATCGATTTACACCAGTCAGAAAAAAAAACATAAAAGTGTTGATGATAATAATAATAATAATAATCATCGATTTACATTGACTTGATAATCACCATTATCGATCCCGCCTTATTTATAAAACTGAGTTAAAATAGAAATCTAGAACTTATTATCGAAATTTAAACTCACACATAAATATATTGATTTGTTTTAAGAAAAAACATACAGAATATATAGTTATAAACTAATTTAATAAGAAATTTATAGAATGTCCACTTCCTTTAACACTCTTCCCACTAGTACCATTACTACTATTACTACTACTAGTTGTATGATTATTTCTAGTTATGTTTAAAGTTGAAGTATTTCCAGTTACACTAGAAATGATTCTTCTCCATCTAAATTGACAAGCATTTGGTGTTCTATCATGAAAAAATGTAGATATTTCTCTCCATCCTATCCTAATTTTTGAACCTCTTTTAATTCTCTTAATAATTTATCTTCTTTTGGTGACCAAGTTGTACTTTGTTTTGATTTTCTTCTAATATTTTGCGATGTAATTATATGTGGTGGAAGTAGATGGGGATGGTATGCTGTATGAAGTGTTTGGTTAACTTGTTGAAGTTGTTGATGTTGTTGATATCTAATTTGTTGATAATATGGATAATTGGTTTGTTGTTGTTGCTGCTGCTGTTGTTGTTGTATGATGT